CTAGGGACGTGCCAGCACGGCCCATAGCAGGGCAGAGGAAACACACATCCTGAACCAGCAGCTTTAGAATCCCCAAGAAGATAGCAAGCCTGTGGCTTGTCACAGGAACCTGGCCCTGTCACCCTTTCCCTGTGCCCTGCCCAGGAACCAAGATCAGGAGCCCAGATGGGCCTACATCTGGACAGAGACCCTTGTTTGCTTTCCAGCAGCCAGTGAGCATGGGTTTGGAGTTAGTGTCCGTCGCCCACCCTCTTCCTTCCCACCTGAGTTCTGAAAAGGTCAGATATCCCAAGGCATGCGTGGACTCCCACAAGGCACTGCTCCTGCCCTGCTGTTGGGCAAGCACCAGCATTCAGGGGACTTGTGAAGCCCTGTTGGACCAGGCCTCTGGAGGAAAGGCAGCAGGTCTCTCAGGAAACTGCCCCCCCAGTTCCTTACAGACTGCTAAGGGCAGCAAGGGGGAAGGATGGCTTGGAGAGTTTTAAATCCGCCTGTGACCTCACACAACCGTTTTGTATTTTGGCAAAGCGGCTGTCCAGGAAATCATAGGCCTGAAGTCCCTGCCCAAGGAAGCTGACCCCGAGAGTCCCCGGGACTGCTGGCACATTGAGGACAGGCCTGGCTTTGCACTGTGCACAGGGTGTGAACCTTGAGCCTGGGTGCCACACTCTGGACCTTGACTGTTATGTACATCAGTTCATTTCACAACTTGGTCACAGCCAGCCTTCCCTGGTGACTCCACAGGGACCATACACATGAGCGTCATCCCCCAGCTCCTGTCTCGTGGTGCTGTTCTTGTGTCTGAATAGGAGGGATCTTGCTATTGAAGCTCTGGCTAATTCTACGAGGCATCAAAGCTAGCGAGCTCCACCGAGGGTAGGGTTTACTTCATGGAGACAAGCACAGCCATATGGAGGGTTTGGATCGGCGTCAGTGTCCCGCTCCTCTGTCTGCTGGTGTTGGGTTGGGCAGGCTCCAGGAAACAGGATGATTGACATCCCTTCCTGTGCTGTGAGGCTCACAAGTCATGTGAGCAATGTAAGCGACGTGGGTGTCATGAGTGGAGGAGTCTACAAGGACCTGAAGCTGTATTGAATTACAAACTAATCTTCCAACCCCTGACATCAGGAGTAGCTGGCACATCACAGGCTCCATTCATGTGGCTCCTTTGTCAGCCCACGCCTAGACTTCTCGAGGCACGACTGCCCTCAAGAACAGAGTGCGTGTTGGGTTGAAATGGACCACATTGAGAACTCTGTCCCAAGGGGAGGTCCTTGTGACAGGTTCTATAAGCTCAAATGTGTGGACCCCATCTGGAGACTTTGGCCGGGTGCCACGAATTAATCCAGATGGGATGAGGAGCTAGCCAGGTGTCCTGGCATGGAATGTGTGTGAGGTACCCAACATCCCCAGCTCGGAGGAGGCCAACAAGGACAAATGTCTTCTCAAAGCAAGCAAGGTCATCTGTTGGTATGAAATAAATTATTAAATAAATGTTCGGAGATTCTTTGAACAACATTCATCTGTGTTGTCACGGCCCTGGGGTCAAGTGTATGCCTCGCTTTGCTGGAACTCCAGGATCCTCTGCTGAGCTCATTTGTGGTTCCAGAACCTTCACTTCCTTCCTTGCTTTTTTTTTTTTTTTTTTGATACAGGGTTTCTCTGTAGCTTTGGAGCCTGTCCTGGAACTCACTCTGTAGGACCAGGCTGGTCTCAAACTTACAGAGATCCACCTGCCTCTGCCTCCTGAGTGCTGGGATTAAAGGCGTGCGACACCTCCGGCCTGTGAACCTTCACTTTCTTGGAGGGTATAGGAGGAGATGGTGGCCCCTGTTCCTGATAGCTGTCACCTGAGGGCTACTCACAGTTCTTAGGATCCCTTCATATGCCTCTCTTATAGCATCCAGCTTTCTCAAGACAGAGAGAGACTTGTCTAAACCCTCTTAGAGGCCTCGTCTAAGCCCACCAAGAATATTCTTTTTGCTCAACTCAAGGTCATCTGATGAAAGCCCTTAATCTGTATAGTTCTGTCTGTCATATATTAGGTAGTGACAGGAATGACATGATTCCCTCGGGGGAAACTATACAGGTGCCTACATACAGGGTATCTATACCAGCAGAGTTAGCAGAATCCTGGGGAACCCTCCTAGAACTTGTAGACCTTTCTAGAATTCTGTCATCTACATTTCTTCCTCCTTCTGCTCTTTCTGGTGCTCTTATCTTTCTTCTTTCCACAAGCCCTTCCCTGTTCCTCATTGTCCCAGCTGTTGAACTAATACTGTTGTCAAAACTCTTGCCTAGTCTCTGCCTTCTTAGAACAGAACCAACAGGCCCAGGGCCATGTACCTCCTCACCCAAGGGTAGGTCCGGAATGTAAAGAGCCTTCTTCAGCCTTCCCGTCCAGCCCTGGGTTCTTCTTGCAGACCTCAAGTACCCATTTAGGACAAGTAACTGGTGTGGAACCCTTAAATGACACCAAGTGCCAGAGTTCTGATACAACCAAGAGGCAGCACCTCACTGCTGTGCCCCAGCCCTGGCCCTGGCCCCAATCCCACCCCAAGTCCCGGCCCCCAGCCCCAGCCCATCCCCAGCCCCCAGCCCCACCCCCACCCCCAGCCTGTGGTGTTGGATGCCCTTTGGTTTGAAAGACATGAGCTTGGACTGATAAGGGACGACACAAGCAAAATCCAGTATGGAGTCAAGTCCTTGGAAACTGGAAAGAAATCCCTTGTGATTCAACTTAGTAGTGAACTTACATTAGAACTGAAAGAGATCAGGGCACATGGTGGTGAGTTCCTGAAAATCCAGCATGGCAGAGGGTGGGAGGGCTGAGGCAGGAGGATGGTGAATTTGAGGTTGGCCTGGGCTATGTAGATAGCAGGACCTTGTCTTTTCAAAGAAAAAAGTGAAAAAATAAAAAAAAAGGGAGGATGTAACAGGCTTTCTTTTGGGCCACCAACCAGTTCCCAAACAAAGACATGGAAGTTTTTTTAATATTAGTTATGAATGCTTGGCCTTAGCTTAGGCTCATTTCTTGCTAGCTCTTATAACTTAATGTAACATGTTTCTCTTCATGTACATGTTACCTTTCTTCCCTTCTGTATGTCTTACTTCTACCGCTTCTTGTGTCTGGCTGGCTGGTGGCTGCCTGCCTGACTGACCCCAGGAATCTCCATCTTTTTCTCCCTCGCTCTCTTTTCCCTCCAGCCTAGATTCCTCCTCCTGTTTATTCTCTCTGCCTGTCTCAGGTCCACCTATCCCTAGCTATTGGCTGTTCAGCTCTTTGTTAGATCAATCAGGTGCCTTAGGCAGGCAAGGGGAAACAGCAGCACATCTTTACAGACTTACACAAATGCAGCGGAAACAAATGTAACACACCTTTACAAAGTGTTTACAAAGTAGCATTCCACAACGTAAACAATGAGATACATCTTTCCATACAGTAGTATTCCACAACAGAGGGAAGGGAAAGGAAAGGGGTCAGTTTGTCTTCTGGGTTGTGCGTGCGTGCGTGCGTGCGTGCGTGCGTGCGTGCGTGCGTGCGTGCGTGTGTGTGTGTGTGTGTGTGTGTGTGTGTGTGTGTGTGAGCCAGGGAGATGGTATTCAAGTCAGCCACCGGGACCTATCTCCTAGTGGGGTGTGTTGCTCAGAAAACCAAACGTGCTTACTGTTGCTCCTGGCTGGCCCTACTAGCTGGCTGCGTCCAGAAAATGCTGTATTAAAGCAACCTAGGGAACAGTGGGCTATTACAAAATTCCAGAGCTGTGGGTAGAATTATCGACTGTGTATCAAGGGAAGTTACCTGCCAAGAAGGCGGGACTTGACACCAGAAAGCCTGAATCAAACATTCTGTCTTTTACCTCCCTGGCTCGTGGGTGGCATGAGATAAAAACAGTCACATGATCTCTGGTCACACAGCAGGGCCAAAATGCCGTTTGTGACCCCTTGGTTGGCTCGGTCAGCTGTGTTCTGATGGCTGATCTTCCGGGGGGCCTAAAGATTGTTAGATCTTTCTATGCCAGGACTACATCTACAGCCCTCCACTGGTGGCCTTGGGAGACCTGAGCTGCCCTGACTGCAGAGGGGAGGGAGGGAAGTCGTATGGCATCAGGGCAGGCATAGAGGGACTGGGCAGGAGTCTCGCAGTAGATCTCTCTGTGAGGCCACCAGACTGGGGCCCTGCAGGGCTGCCTGGCTCTAGGCTGTGTTTAGGAGTGTGCCATACAAATAAACGAAACAGTTAGAACAGCGCCCACCTGGCATTTAGTGAGGTTTCAGCAGTCACCCCCCCCCCAACCCATCCTCAGGGGACAGCAGATGATACCAAACTCTGTTGGACTGTGTTCCTGGTAGACATGCACACCTATGACGTAACTTTATTTCTAAACTGGGCATGGTAAGACATTAACAGTGCTGTTGACCATGCGGCGATCTTAGCGTATGGTTTCCCTTCCTTTTTGAGTCAGGGACTTTCACCTCTTTGTTAAGAGGAAGCCCTTCCCGGCTCTTCTCGGGCACATGGGAACTGTCAGGGTCACCACTGGTGTGCTTTTGGGGCCACTGATAAGTAAAATGAGGGCAAGCCCAATACAAGTGCTGGCGGTTGCTGGGGTGGATCTGATGGTGACACAGGTATAAGGCATGGAAATTCTGGAGAACGGGAGTCAAAGTCTGTGCAAGAGAGATCAAAACGGTGCGGGATTCAGTCGTGCATTTGCTTAGCATTGCACGTAAAAAAAAAAAAAGCAAAAGAATTATTTGTTTCTGAAAATTTCCATCTAAAGTTTTTTGACTCTAGTGGACCTCCGCTAACCGATACGGGAGGAGCTCCTGGGCTCATGGCTCCTACTCTCCCCACTCGTGGCAACCCGAGCGCATCTGTGAATCGCCACTGTATGCTTGTTAAGCTCTAAACAAGATTTCCTCTGCGCAGGATCATTAACTATGTACCCGGAAGGTGCCTGGTCTGATCTCTAATAAGGTTTCTGGGTCTGTTTCAGGCGGAGGCCAGGCTTGCAGCGAAGCGTGCAGCCCGCGCCGAGGCTCGAGAGATCCGCATGAAAGAGCTGGAGCGGCAGCAGAAGGAGGTAATGGGGGCTGGGGGCTCGCAGTGGGGTCTCTCTCTGAGGTGTACTAGGAATATAAGAGAGAGCACCTGCTCCCTTCACTGTCAGCTCTGCGTCACTCTTGCTTGGAATGTGTGTGCTCCTGCGGTTTTTGTTCTAGGTTAGGCCCAGAGTGCACATAGTGCGGATGCCAGGCGTGCTTGCCCAAACCGGGGCCTGAGAGAAAGCTCACAGGCTGAGCTTGCCCTTTAGTAGTGAGTTTCCAGGCCCCTTTGAAGCTCAGAAGGGCTGGAGAAAACTGGGTGTTTGGCTTCTGTCTAACAGTGGCTTTAGGGTCTGGATCCTCTTGGTCAGAACCAGAAAAGAGCAGAGTAATTTTTTTTAATTGGTCAATTTCTTTCATTAAAAATAAAAATGTTTTCCCTGAGGCTTATGTAGTGATACAGAGAACAGTGTGAACACTGGATGAGTAGTCATGGGAACAAATGCTCTCCAGAGGACCAGGGTGGTCACAGGTGCACACACCCCTTCATCCTGTCCCTGTTGGTTTTTAAGACCTTGAGTCAGTATTCTTTCCAACAGCCAGTGTGTGGGCTCTTAACTGCGTTAGGGTGCTGGCTTCTCCACAACCTCGCCCAGGAAATGAACCCGTTGGGGAACATCCGCTCCAGCCCCACACTTCAGGGCTTGCCCGCTAAGAAGGCTTGAATGTGTAAGGGGTAGTAAGCTGCTGGAGTGGTCTTCCACAAGCAGGGTCTGGTCCTGCTCGTGGAGCCCAGACGGTGTTCACCGTTGTGTAGCTTCGGATGGAAGTTCGCCTTTCCTGTTTCTCTTCAGACCCCTGCATTATCCCTCCACCCTTCCCAACCAAGCCCAAGCCTGCCATGTGTTCTGGAGGGCCATTAGACCGTGATGCTCACTGTCCCTCCCTGCCCAGGGACTTTGCCACTCCAGAAAGAAATATGCCAGCAGAAGAGGGTGTGGTCAGACTTGATTTGGGGAAGGAAACTTCCAGGTGGTGTGTGGGTGGCCATACAGTGCTGGGAGCTCCAGCCTAATGGCTTAGCCAAAGGGGTGCCAGAGCCCCAGTGGGAGGGAAAGTGGGGCAGGGCAGTCACCACCATGAGGGGACCTCACCCTGTTCTGTGGCAATCAGGAAGTAATGTTGGCAAGCGTCTCCTATGTGCTAAGCTGTGAGCAGAAAATTAAGCCAGTATCAAAAGTTGGCTCACTGTCTTCCCTTCTGGTTGCAGATGCCAATAAAATTTAAAAAGTATAATATGTTCTAGGCTTTGTTATTTTACATTTAGAAGTTGGTACGTGTGTGTGTGTGTGTGTGTGTGTGTGTGTGTGTGTGTGTGTGTGTGTGTGTGTTCTCTTAGTTCTCAGGAGAAGCATGGGGCTAGTATAAGTCCGGCATCTGTCTCCTTTTTAAAATCAGAAAATAGGCGTTCCTGGGATTTTGTTTTGTTTTGTTTTGTTGTTGTTATTGTTAATTATTTAGGCTTTTTCCTAGATGAACTGTGATTGCCAAGCTTTCAAGTTAACTGAAGCGCCTCCCTCCCCTAGTCTCTTGGCCAAGGGTGAGGTGGGCCTAAGTAGAGTCAGAACCCGGTGAGCACCTGTAGGAACACCTCCACTAGGAAGTGCTTTCAGGACACTCACCAGAGACAAACGTCTGCACCCTCAAGTAGAGAATAGGAAAAGGCCACAGCTGCTTTGTGGGTCACTGTCATGCACCATGACCTCTGAGCAGGCACCGCCCAGGGCACTGTCCCAGCTAGAGCTCCTGGGCTCACCTGACTCTAGCATACATACTGGACAGTTTATTTGGAATTTAATTTAATTTTTTTTTAATGACTAAGTCCCAGTTGTTTCTCAGACGGCCTGGTATCATTCTCTCTGTGAAACTTTTCTTCATTCAGTAGACACTTGTGGGCCGCTGTGTGGGACCCTGCTAGCCCTTCCCACTGACTGTGGTAGTGTGATGGGGAGGTAGGTAGTTCCTGGGCGGGGGCTGCTGTTTCTTAAGATGCATCCCAGTTGCAGAGGGCAGCTCCTGGCATCTGCAGAGCCAGACGTCCTGTGGGAGCTGCCTCCTGTGGCTGCTATGCCCTGCTTAGGCTCATGCACTGTCAGTTAACCCTGGTTCTCCCACAGTCCTTCAGTCTTCCTTCCGTCCTCCCTTCCTCCCTCCTCCCTCCTTTCCTTCTTTCATTCCTTCCTCCCTTCCTTCCTTCCTCCCTTCCTTCCTTCCTTCCTCCCTCCCTCCCTCCTTTCTTTCCTCCCTTCCCCCCTTCTTTCCTTCCATCTTCTTTGGTTAGTAGTGGGGATTGAACCTGGGACTTTCATGTATGCTAGGCACTCACTCCCACTGAATCCCAGCGCAGGCACCAGCAGTCAAATCCCCAGAGTGTTTTGCTGCTCTCTAGTTCCGGGGGATTTATTGTACTTTATGCTCCACTGTCCTCTGAGTACGTGGTATACTTCATAGCTGTCACCTTCAGCTCCTATTAGGGACAAACCAAGGACTCAGGGCACTGGGAGGCAGTGGGCCTGTGAGTTGGCTCAGCATTGTACTCGGGCCTGTTAGTGAGCTTGGTGATTCTCACCAAGATGTAAAACTCCTACAGAGATGAAGGTGAAAGGGAGTTATAGGGTATGTGTGCACACATCTATTAAGTAACACTTTAAATTATATTTGTTCTTCCTGATGGGTACCATTGATTAGCATATATGCCCTATTACATAAAAATCTCCTACAGGGATTCTTGGTGAGAATCCCTGGGCAGAGTTAGATGTGAGTGTGGCAGCATCCACAGCTAAGAGGAAACTGAGTGAGTCCTAGCGATTTTTTTTTTTTGAGCAGAAGGATATTTGGCCTTGAGCACCAAATATCTTCTCATTGCTGCATCTGAGGCAGAATTTGTCAGCCAGAGCTGATGTTTGTCAACAGGAACCCCATAGGAAGAGAAGCCATGTGCGTATGCACAAATGTCCGGGGACAAGTCTGTGGAGAAGAGTGAGAGCAGCTAACAGCCCAAGCTTGCAGCCTGACACCGCAGCCCCTCGCAGACGGCTCTGCCTGTCTTTTCAGTCCTGGCTATTATTAGAAGCAGCGAGCCCAACTTGAGTTCATACCATCTGATAGCCCAGGGCACTGGCATTTTAAGTTGTTGATTAAGGAGAAATGAATATGCTTTGGACGGCCAGTGTTTAGCCAGTAGGCTTGGTATTTTGGTATAAAACTGGGAAACATGATCCCTGCTTTCTCCTGCACGTGCTGCTGCAGGAAGGGCTTTTCTTTCCCAGAGGAAGGGGTCAGAGCTAAGGCAGCCTAGATGAGCTGAGGAGACCTCAACTTGGTGGCCAGACTTGGGGGTCCCCCAGGAGAGCTTGCAGAGTGTGCAGAGAGCCAAGAAGGGAAAGACAGCAGTGTTGGGGTACAGGTCTGCCACCAAGTCAGGACAGTGAGCTGTGTCCAGAGCCAGGGTGCTCTGGGTATCCCTCGTGACAGCTTCAAGAGTCAGCCACACTGATGGCATGAATCAACAACAGCATCCTTGAGCTGTACTTTGGGCCTGGTTGAGTGGATCTGGGCTCCTTTTTAATGGAGTTACCAGATGAGAATAATATATAGGCATTCTTTGGGAAATTACAGGGATCCTTGAACTTCACAGGAGAGCTGGCACTGATAGAAATAAATGTCTGTCTTAATGTCACTGACTGGATAGCCATTTTGGTTGTAGATACTGCATTATAGTTGAATGTTGACTGTGCTTTCCCATATGGAGAAACCTGCCAAATTTCTAGGCCTATGACCTTAACAAGGCCTTATACAAACCGTGGCTTGTCCAGTGAATGCAAGTGTCTATGTCTCAGTGGTGACATAGGAGAGGGCTCTGATGAAAACCACTGTGTTGGGGAAAGGGAGCCTCTCTTGTATTTCAGCACATCCCCATGGCTGCAGCGTTTTGCTGGAATGTTCTTGCTATTCTTTCCTATAAATCTGCTTGGACCAGGACGCTAAAGCCTCTTTATTAATGGTTTCTGAATCTGACCACTCAATTTCCTACTTAAAATTGGACACTTTCTAGTTAAACTTTTATTAGTATGAAAAGCAGTTTTCCTTTTAAAGCTAAGTTGATGTTTATTCATTGACAGATTCATGTGTGTGAACATGATGCACTTTGATCCCCCACCATTCCCTTCTCTCATGGCCCTCCTACTGCCTCTGAGCCTTCTTTCCCGCATAACCCCACCTCCCTTAAAGTCTGAAAAGATGCCTTTAATTCCTGTTTCTTGTTGTAGCAATAGGCGGTGCATACTCTGCATTAGGTAACAGTGGGTTCTACAGACCCTGGTATGGAGCGACCATCAGCCATCATCTGAAACAGCACCGAATGAGTGAAATGGGACATTTTCTCTTCATGTTTAATCAGCAATCTTTGTTTTTCTACACTACGGTATCCATTCATGTTTCTGATTGTGACAGAGCCTTTCTGAACCGTTCCTGCAATTTTAACTGCATTTTCTATTTCTTCCCCTTTCCCTTTTGCCCTTTGCTGTAGATCTATCAAGTCCAAAAGGTAGGCTCTATCCTTCATGTCTAATATGCATGTGCTGCTCTCCCCTTGCCGAGGCCTTGTCCCCTGCAGAGCAACGCCATGCGCTGATCACCCCGCTTGTCATGTGCACCGCCGCCTCTGTCTACCTGCCTGATTAACAACTTTCTTCCGCTTGAGGCAGAAGCCATGCATTGAACACATCCCTTGATCCTTTTGCCTCAAGGAATTGGCAAGTTATCTCCGATACAGAAAAAAACATATCTAACTCAAGCCACATTTTATAATTGGGGGAAGCTTTTAAAATTGCATATTAAAAGACATACATAGTGAGACCCTGTCTCAAAAAATGAGAGAGAGAAGGAGATAGATAGGTAGACAGACAGACAGACAGGCAGGCAGGCAGGCAGGCAGACAGACAAAAGAATGGTTATTAGGCTAGGTATGGTAGCCCCAGTACTTACAGGCAGGCAGGCAGACAGACAAAAGAATGGTTATTAGGCTAGGTATGGTAGCCCCAGTACTTGAGAGGCTGAGACAGAGGACTACAAGTTACAAGTTTCAGGGCAGAAAAGAATAAAAGTCTATGAGTTCGAGGCCAACCTGGTCTACAAGAGCTAGTTCCAGGACAGCCTCCAAAGCCACAGAGAAACCCTGTCTGGAAAAACCAAAAAAAAAAAAAAAAAAAAGAATAAAAGTCTAGAGATAAGAAGAGAGTATAAGATTATAGATTAGTGGAGGTGGAATTAAAGTTTTATTAAAAAAAAAGATATAGGGGAAAAACCCAGCTGTCCTCCCATCTCAGCACGGGATTAGCATTATATGCTAATGTGCCTCTCTGGTCCATGACAACCACTGCGGTTAGAAGCTGGGACAATGAGTAGAAATACTGAGAGCTTGCTCTTCAGGGACTTGTGGCTCAGCCGAGATGGAGTGGGGTGCCACTGACCCCTGAGAGGCTGTGGGGCTTGATGAGCCTTTCCCGTGTGTGAGCCTTTCCTGTGGGGGAGCCTGTGTTCTTTCCTCAACTTGTTTAGTTTCTACCTAGAATAGCTGTGTCTTCCTTTTAAAGTGGTAAGTCAGAGTAAGAATATAGACTCTCAGAGCACACAGGCCACTTACACATGTCATCTGTAGAACCTGCTACATGCAATCCTGAACTCAAGTTTAATGACCCTTGGCCCAGCCCATCCTGCCTCCACTGGAAAAATCTCCTCTCCTGAAGAGGCAGAAAGGTCCAATGGATAGCCAGCAAAATTTATAAGCACACTGTTCATGGCCCTAGCATCCAATATGGAATGGATACTGAAGCCAGTCCCCTGTCCTCTAGAGTCCCTGGAGGACTCTGACAGGTTCCAGTTAGGCTGGGAAGCCCTGATGGACAGTGAGGCTACAGGACATTGCTGCTCCAAACTCAGGAAAGGGGCTGGAACTGGTCATTTCCCCTCACATCCTACCCTTTCCTGTTCATGGTTGGATTTGTTGACAGGCCTGAGATGTGTTGTGAGAAGTGTCAGATGTGAGCTCAGGTGCAGGGCGCAACTGGAGGATCTCCAGAGATGCACCACAGTTTGTATAAAAGTGTCCAAGGGAAGGGAAGACTTTTCTTAACAATCAAATTCATGATGAGGGCAGGAGACGGGGTGCGTTCTCTCCTGGTCCTGAGCCCATTGGGCCAATTAGTTTCTTTGTGCTTGAGGCTGTTTCTCAAAGTTAAACACCTTGTGCCTCAGTCTGGCTCCCTCCTGTCTTGCTAACTAAAAGTCAAACAGAAACAAAGGTGCCATGTGTCACACACACACGAATTAGGATCTGGATGTCATAGGTAAGGGCGGACTAGCATTAGGTGAGTCAGAAGAGGTCTTAACACAAGGAATGCACTGGAATTGAAGTTAAAATGCAACTTGGACACTTTGACAAGTGTTTGCTTTTATTTCCTTTACAAATGTGTGTTCTAAGGAAATCAGTACTGATGCAGAAAAAGCAAAAAACAAACAAAAAAACCAACAGCTCTCACTCCGAGGGGAGTAAGAGAGAGTTTATTCTGAGCCAGAAATCAATGGTCATGGTCAGGGATTCAGGTTAACCACTGTATAGGCAGGTTAGAGCAGAGAAGGGAATCTCACTATGGGTTTTAGATGCTAGCTGATAACAGTCTTAGGTTTTGGTTTGGTGGAAGCTAGTTCTAAGTTAATAAATTCCAAAGACTTTAGGTGTCAAAGGATGTGGGACCAGATGGACCTGGATGATCAGTGGCTTCCGTGAGAACGATAGACAGCAAAGATAATTTTGGCTTCTGATCTCCACAACCACAACCCTCTAATGGGTCAGCACCCTGCAGAACCTTCTGCCCCAGTGGTTCTCAACTTTCCTAATGCTGTGACCCTTTAATACAGTTCCTCATGTTGTAGTGACCCCTAACCATAACATTGTTTCGTTGCTACTTCATAACTGTCATTTTGCTGCTGTTATGAATCCTAATGTAAATATCTGATCTGCGACCCCAGGTTGAGAAACGATTTTCTACACAGATTTTTATTTATTTATTTATTTTTGGACATAGCTTAGTGGAAAAGACTGCATGTGTGGTGTTTTGCACTGGCTTTTGACACTCTTGGCTTTTCAAGGCTCTGTGAAAGTTGCCCTCCTAATTTCTCTTCTCTTGGTTTTCTACTTACCAACATCTCTTTGAGGAAGGGACATGGCTATGTATCTGAAATCCAGCCCTCCTTCAAGGTGAAACTAAACCAGTCATAATAACCACAGCATGTTTGAGTGATTCGAGAACCATTTTAAAGTGTCCTTGTATCTCTGTCACCCAGTTTTATTTTTATATTTCTCATTGTAAACTTGAAGTGTATAAAAATTTGACGTCCTACAGATTTGGTTTTCTGTTCCTTGATTTTCTTACTGGAAATTGAGGGGGAAAATAAGGAACAATGCCAAGCTGGTTGTTAAGCCCAGGCTCTCATCCAGCCTGGGGACACTGTAGTGATAGGAGCAGCCATTTGGCCAACTTGTTCAGTCTAACTTGGACCACCATGGCTTAGAGCAGGTGGCTGTCACCTGGGGCTGGTACCACAGTCTCTTTCCACCCAAAGGCCAGCTCTGTAGGCCTCAGGCGTCTGCAGCAGATGTGGCTTCTCCGGCCTGCGTCTGGCTCAGGTGTCAGAGCGGCAGCATGCAGCTGGAAGCCGGCTCAGCACGGCGCTTCCTCCTCCCTCCTCTGGGGCCCCTTCCTGGGACAGCAGCATGGAATGGCTCTCAGCTTTGTTCCCTCTGCAAGTGTGCCCCAAAGCTGTGAAGGCCTTTGCAGAGGGGCCTGCACAAGCTTTGCTTTCCTCCTCTTGGGAGGCCACCCTGCCTTATGAGTGTTTTGCTCTCGACTCTGTGGGGGGCCGGGGGTGGGGTGGGGGGGTGGGGTGGGGAATGGGGGCTGCAAATGTCTTCTCTGCAGACCCCAGTTCTGTGGCCTCCGTGCCTGGCATGCTGCCTCCAAAAGTGATTACGGGTGGGAGGGTTCGGTGGAACAGTTTCTTATGTCTTCACTGTTTACTTCTTGCCTAATTTTCTTTCCCTTCTGTCTATAGAAATATTATGGGCTGGATACAAAATGGGGCGACATCGAGCAGTGGATGGTAGGCCTTGAATATAATTTTAAGACTTAAATGGTTTATAATTTAACCCTGACTGCAATTTAATTATGCCAGTAGATTCCGCCAGCACTGTAATCTGATACTCAGAGGTCCTCTTCAGGGCATCCCTGCATCTGGTGTGGTGTTGTTAGAAACGGCCTGGCCAGGCCTGTGACCATGTGACCGGTCCCTCTGCAGAAAGGGACTGCTGATGTCTGCAGGCTGGTGTTGTGTGAGGCTCCATCGCCACTGCTTCCTCAGCTCTCTGTATCAGAAGATCCCCAGGGACTCAGGCTAGGCATGTGCCCTTGTGCAAGAACTTTCCAGAGAACCTCATCTTACTATCAGAACATCTTCACTGTTCTGCTTAAAACCAGAAGAGGCCCTAGACCGCGCGTGTGACTTTTTATGCTAGCTTCCTTCATGGACAGCCAGCTGCCCTATCATCCCCACTCCGTCTCCCCCCCCCAACTCAGGCAGCACTCTACCCCGCACTCTCCCTGTTGGCTCCTCTGGTCTCCTCTCTGCCCGTGAAAGCCCCTACTCTTGAGAAAATTCCTTCCTCCCTTTCTGTTTCCTTAAGAACCTGTCTGCCTTCCCAGGGTAGCCAAAGCCCAGCTCAGCCCCAGGGAGCCTACCTGCCCTCAGGCCTCTCAGGAGAGGTGCCCATGTGGCAAGGCTTTGGGCTGGGCACCCTCCAGAGCTTTCCATTGATCCCAGAGCAAAGCTGTAGTCTTATTAAGCCACCCTCCTCTTCAAATCCTGGCTCCTGTCCTGGACTTTGACACATGCTTTTGGCATTAGAGACCTGGAAATGTCCCCATCAAGGCTCCTCACCGCTAAACAGCCTGAGGGAGATTCGAGGCCATCTCTACCATCTTAGATGCTATGTGTGATACAAATATCTGTTGAAAAACTCACCACAGTTCAGCCTGTGTCAGCTGTCACCGTAGTGTACATCCCCTGAGGTGTGTATCTTATCACCTCTTAAGGACAGTTAAAAGATGGCCACTTGAAAAGAAAGCAAAGTCAATGGTGAGCAACTCCGTACCTCCCGCTTCTGCTTCAGAGACAAACATGCAGAAACCTGTTTGTCCTGGAGTCCGTACAGCAAGCCGGTTGGCATCCACATTGGGGTTCTCAGGGGAAATCACTTCCCGAAGGAGAGTCAGTCCAGAGGGGAAGAGGGTTGATTTAGAACCAGATTACAGGGTTACAAAAAAAGCAAGGCTTAAAAGCCACAAACTATGGCAGTTATTTGTGTCCTTAAGGACCTCCCCCGAGGAACTGTTTCCCACCGTCCCTTCCTTAGACCCTTTAAACAAAGGCAGATCAGCCGTGTGGGTCAGAAATTCTGGAGTCTGTGGCAGCAGGACCTTCCGGGGTGTCTAAACTCTGCCTTGCTTTCTCTAACCTCTCTCTGCCATTTCCCTTTGCTTTGTTCTGGTAGGAAGACAGCGAACGCTACTCTCGTAGATTCCGGAGAAACACATCGGTCAGTACCACGCTCCTTTACTGCAAGGGACAAGTTGAGGGAGCCTTAATTGTTCCTCTAGTGGCTGAAATAGATACAATAGTTGCTATTGTTGATATACAGCTGCTATCTATACCTGAATAAAGACAGTCACTCAGCATTTGGGACTAAACTGTGTAAAGAAATTGTGTTTGGGATTTTTAAAAAACTGGATATTGAACCCAGAGCCTCATGCAAGTTTAGGCACTCTACCACCACTAAACTGTGTCTCCGGCCCTGTTTGGAAATCTTTAAATATTGTTATTAATAATATATTATTCACTACAGTTAATAATTTTTATTGTTGCTGTAAATACCCATAAATAATTTTTATAATCCCTGAGGGGTATTAATAGCCCTCCTTAAAGTTGCCTGTGACATACTGTGTTTCCATAAACAGTCTTAGGCAAACTGAGGCATACTGAGGGCCTGGGCTCACATCCTCCGAGTTCTCAGGGTGGCTGGTCCACCCACCGCTGTGGAGTTCTCAGGGCGGCTGGCCCACCCACCGCTGTGGGGTCGGGTCAGCGGGTTCTTCCCAGCCCCCCAGTTCACGGCTGTGTTCTCATCCTGTCTTTTACTAGGCTTCTGATGAAGACGAGCGCTTGTCCGTGGGTAGTCGAGGCAGCCTAAGGGTCAGTAACATTGTGATTGCTTCTGCATGGCACACGATGTGTGGGCGAGAGCCTTTGATTTCCTGTCCCTGCTTTCGGCCCTTAGATCGTCACCCCTCTCCTCTGCTGATCCCCAGCTAACTGATGAAATGCTTGTATATAAGTTAACCAAGGGCCACGTGGGCTGGACTGGGGAGACGGTGGGGTGTTACTTGTCATTTCCCAAAGAGCGGAAGACATCGTTTTTTCAGTAGTTTTCCACAACATGAAACTACAAAACTGTGATTAACGATTGTTTCTGACTTGTTGTTATGATGGACAGGAACATGAAGGCATACGGCATGCCTGTTTCCCCCCACACTCTCCAGGAAAGCTAGTCTTGGTTAAACCAGCCATTAGTTGGACTGGGGAAATAGTTCAGGTGGTCAGTGAGGACCTGAGTTTCACACACACACACACACACACACACACACACACACACACACACACACACACACACACACACGCACCCCGCAGAACTCAGGTGAAGAAAGCAATGTGTAGTGGTGTGCACTTGTAATCTCAGTCCAGGGGACAATTAGTGAAGTTGACTGGCTACCTAGCTTAGCCTTACTTAGTAAGTACAAGGCCAGTGAGAGACTACGTCTCAAAAAAAAAAAAATAGAGGGCATCCCTGGGGAATGACACCTAAGGTTGTCTTCTCGCTTCCACATGCACATGCGTGTGTGTGAAAACACACCCAAAAGTAGCCATATGTTATTTATGATGTTTCTGCAGCTGCTGGAGGCTCCCTGGAGGGAAGGCGATGCCCTTCACCATCCCGGACCTTTCTGCCAGCCATAGTGAAGGTGAAGGTTCTTCTTTACAATGCCAGGATTAGATCTAGAGCCTCACACCAACTACAAGCTCTTCACTGACAACTTCATGGCTAATGAACACAGCCTTTGTAGCTGCGTTAGAAGAAAGTGTGTACTCTGGGAAACGAAGCAGGATGGTTGGGTTATAGCTTAGTAAGCACGCCCATTCGATTGGCAGCAGGGTTGACAGGGCATCTCACTACTGTAATAACTGGGTCTCCAAGCAGCCACTCTGGTTTGCTAAGGGACTTTACAGAGCTAAGGGTTGGTTTATCATCACCGTGACAGTTAGGTCACACAGTATTACCCCTTGACTAAACATGCACCAGGTGTGTGCTTAACTTGGCATATAGCGTTAAAGCCACCATCCCTGTCCTCCTAGCTCTAAGAGCAGATTCCGTGTGGTTTTGCTGGACAATGACATGTGAAGTGGGTGAGTTGGCACCTTGCTGCTGGGAAGTTTCTGCTGAGTTCTTTCATAATGCAGCTGTGACTTCCTCACAGAACCCCTCAGACATGACCTGTTTTAGAGGAAGCAGAATACAAATACAAGCTCAGCTTGCAACATCTGTGACCAGGCCCAGGCATTGCAGTCGGAGGACATGTCAGAGGTCTAGCCCTTGAAACCAAGGGGAGGAAGAACAGTTAGGGATGGGGGAGGGACTGGGGAGAGCAGAACAAAGAGCTGGCCCTTGGATGTAGCCTCCTGGTTGGTGGTGACTTTGCAAGAGAGCCTTCCACAGAAATGGCAAGCAGGAAGTGGATAAACAGGGGTTGGAGATGGAACAGGCCAGAGATGGAAGCAGAACCCAACCTCTGGGACAGCGTGTACTCTTCAGACCCTTGGGTTCCCCAGGGAGAAATTTCCACCATCCTAAGATTCTTGGGGCGGGGGAGGGTGTCCTGGCTCCAAAGAGTTTACCATAGTTTCAGCATTCACTCACCTTCCACATTAACCTCATGGATTGAGTCTCCATGCAGGACGTCTTCATCAGATACCAGTGTATTCACACGGGAGGTCCACGGTTAGCGAGCTGAAGGGGAGAACGGGAGGAAGTCAATGAATTTCACTGTCAGGCTCCATGTGGTACCCGACTCTTCCACAGTATACTTAAGAAACTTAGAGGACAAAGGCCGGTGCCACCAGGCCTGACAACCTGAGTTCAATCCCTGGGACCCACATGGTGGAAAGTGATTTGTGACATGGTAGAAAGCTGACTTCTGACAGCTGTTCTCTGAGTTTCACTGACACTGTGGCACACAACACCACCCCAAAAACTAGTTTTGTTTCTTTTTTTTTTTAAAGAACTAGACTTAAAAATGAAAAGAAAGAAGGAAGGAAGGAAAGAGAGAAAAAAGAAAGAAAGAAAGAAAGAAAGAAAGAAAGAAAGAAAGAAAGAAAGAAAGAAAGAAAGAAAGAAAGAAAGAAAATCCAGATTTTAGAGCTGGGGTTCTGGAAATAAGAGTCAGACCTGCTATTTTTATTCTTATAAATAGGTGTGGAACAAGCCTAGAACATTTAAGGACCCTCTTGAGGTCACAGGGACAGTGCTAGCTCCTGATTCCCCAGAGATTTTCATACCTGCCAGGTACCCCAAACCCTGTCCCCTGCTGGCAACCCTACTGTGTGGAATCACATGTCACTCTGTCCATGGAGGCCAGATCATGCCGCTTAATATATTTGAATATTGTGAAACCTTTATTTGGCAAATTCCTAAGATAGTTTCTTTCTCAACTCCCCAAACACGCCTTTTCTATTGCGATGGCAATGGCGGTAAGCCCTAAAGGCCAGGAGGGGTAGTTACCATCCTGGGATCAGCACGCATGGTCCCCTGGGGAAATCAAGATTGGGGTTATCATAAGGTTTTAATTATCTTTATTTAAAGTCTGACAATGCTACATCTCTAAACCTTTCCCCAACTTAATTAGATCATATCTATGTCAAGAAGGAAGTCTGATTCAGATGGTTTTGTGTTTCGTCAACCAAACAACTGTTGCGTAGAAGCAATTTAATGTTCTTACATTTTACGATGGCTATCATTCTAATATATGTATTTCTTTTCAGTAAGACGTTAGAAGTCATGGGAAATGTGTTCCTGTTAAGATTTTAAAGCTTGCCTGGTTTTGCTTCTACAATCGCTTAGCTCTGTTTCACCTCTGTCACTCCCATCTCAATTTTCCCTTTCCATCCTTACACTAACAGGCCCAGCCTGAGCCGGAGTATGGGAGTTCCTACACCTGGGTGAGGTGGTCAGATAAGTTTGCTGTGGGACTCTAACTGTGTGCAGTGACAGATGAGAGTCGTGCTCTTCCTACTAACTTCCTGGGTGCTCTTCCAAAGCCCAGCTGCCAGTCTTCAGCTAGGACACCATGAGGTCAGGAGGGCATGGCTCCCTCTTGAAAGAGCCATCATCCTTCCACTGCCTCCTGGCTTACGATGGGACCCTAAAGCCTGGACTTCAGCCCCTGGCTCCCAGTCACTGGCAGGTGCTGAGCGCTGCTGGCCACTCGCCGTGGGTTCCTCAAAGAACCCACCAGACCAAGAATTCCCAGGGCCTCTCTGTGTCCTCCTAAAACACTAAGTGTGAAGAAATCATTTTACTTAATCACCCCATTCTTTCCCAATCTGTAACCAAACCTGGAGGCTGGCTCTTTTGCTGGGAAAATAACCTTTGAGAAAGACTCCAGTTCCACCAACAAAAATTAAGCCCTGGAAACGAGTCTTCTCTCCGAGAGACCCAGTGCCTTCTGTCCTCTGGAGATGTGTGCAGTTTACACCCAAAAGAACTCTCCAGTGAGTTTTGCAAAGCGATAGCCTCTTCTCCAGGACTGTAAAGGTGTGATTTTTTTTTTTAATCTCAGAGCCCCTGGGCTTCATGTATTCTCCATTTGAAAATTGTTTGGAAAATTTGCTTTTCTGTTGAATGGCCCTTATTAATAAATGTTGCCATGGGTCTGCTGAGCGCGCTTGATCCCCCAGGGTCCCCACAGAGCTGAGCGTGGCAACTCTTGCCCCATCTCATACTGAGTCACCGCAGCAGCTCTGGCTTGGTGAGGCCAGCCAGCTAGGAAAAAGCATGGGACCAGGCCTGAGATTCAGGGCGAGCCCCAACAGGGCCTGCTCTCTGTCCACAGAGCACAGCCGCAGTCACCCCATGAAAGTAGCAGTTCTTCAGACCTCTAAGAAATCAAATGCATTTGAACTGTCTAGACATCATCCTTTAGCTTTTAAGCTCAACATTGATTTCGAGGGCTGGTCCTTGGGCTGCATGTGAATTTTAGCAGTGGCCGGGGCATTTTGGATTTCACTTAAGAGTGTCTTTTCTTTTTCTTTTTTCTTTTCTTTTTTTTATTCGAGACAGAGTTTCTTTGTATATCCTGGCTGTCCTGGAACTCATTCTGTAGACCAGTCTGACCTCAAACTCACAGAGATCCTCCTGCCTCTGTCTCCTGAGTGCTGGGATTAAAGGTGTGCACCACCACTGCCCGGTCTCTTTTCTTTTTAAAATTAATTTGAAGGCATCAAATGTGTCACTCACAAGTTTCAACTAACCTTTCTTGTTTTGTTTCCCATTTTAATGACCTGAATGCGCCCCCCTGACTCACACAGGAACAGACAACAAACATGGTCCATCAGAAACGCTGACAGCTGGCACTGCACAGCCGGGTGGGGAGTTCCCGTGCAGCTGCAAAGCAGTGGTACATTCTGCCAGTCTCCAAATGATTTTAACTTTAAACGCATTTCAGAAATAGTTTATGGCTTCCTGGGGTTTTCAGATTTCATGTGGAAGGCTTTCTAAATGCTCCTGTTTCACTTAAAAGCTTCAAATGTTTGATTTTTTTTTTTTAGTTGTAGCAAAAGTGGGCATATAGTTTATAATGAAGTTTCTATGACTGAAGTTAAAGTCTGCCTGTCAGTTACTTATCCTACATCAATGTCATGACTACCAGGTACGTGCGTGTGCACGCGCGCGCGCGCGCGCGCGCGCACACACACACGTACACACGTACACACGTGTGTAAGAAAACCATCCAGAAAAGCGATTACATCAGACCATGTACCTTACTCACAGGAGGGAATGACATTGGCCCCATGTTTGCTGGGCTTTTTCTGAGTTGCAGTGGGGTAAGAGGCATGCTGGCAGTGTGGGGGTGTCCAGACTTTCTGCTTCCCCGGGCTGCCCCATTCATTCCCTCTGCAGTGAAGGCTCAGTGTGTTCCTTGGTCATTGTTGCTCTCTGCTTTGTACCTGTGCTGTTCTTTTTACACTGATGCGACCTCTTCTCTCTCTGTTGAAACAGACTAACGGTTATGATGGAGACTATTGCGGATCCCAGTCCCTAAGTAGAAGATCTGGCAGGGTTAGTATAGCAACCATGCATGGCGCATGCTCTCAGGGATGCTGCTTCAACATGTCTAAAATATATTGCTAAATTTAGCTACTTTGCTCTTTTTGTATTGCCCTGGCTCTTTTTTTTCCCATAGTGCAATCTAACACTCTCAGAACATTAGCATTCAAGCATTCTTAGCATGATTCACATTCTGGATGTTATGGTAAAAGCTGATAAGCGTTCCTAAAAATACCCAGGAAGCAGAATTAGCTTGTCCACTGTTTATTGCCCTCATATTTGTGTGTCTGTGGCTGATTTGGCCTGTGCTTTTCTGACAAGGAAAAGGAAGGGGAGAGGACAGAATTCTGATGTCTTCGGTGCTCACATTGAGAGTGAGAGAGGCAGGCATTCCAGTGAAGAAGCCAGAGCAGTGCAAGGAGAGACAGAGAGAGGCTGGGGAAGGCCTGGGTTCTGTCAGGGGTGTAGCTGTTAGACATCTCAGAAAGTTGCATTGGACACATTTTAATTAAGCCTCACGAACCAAACAGATTAATCTGAGTTAAATGACCTAATACCTTCCTGTTCTTAATGTCATTTTCCCCCTTCTGGTAATAAGTTTCTTGTGTAAAATTTAATCTACTTTAATTATATTAAGGTAGCATTTAGTCACTTCAATTTCTAGGCTTCACACACACACACACACACACACACACACGCACACACGCACACGCACACGCACACACGCACACGCACACACGCACGCACACACTGAGCCAACAGTTTCGGCTTTCCCAAACTGGCAGAACAGGTTGCTTGAGACTTCTCAAACCTGTTTACAATTACCTGTGCTTTTTCTATGACCTCTCTTAGCTTTTCTAGTTCCAGACTTCTGAAGCTTTCTGTCACTCTTCACACTGACATCTGCTGAGTCTTTAGGGCAACTTGGCACGCCAGGGACAGAAGCCTGCAGTCACTGCCCTGTGCGTGTCCCTCCGTGGCGTTGCCATCTGTGCTCCACAAGCCTGCAGAGCTGGCTGCCAACATAAGCGATAAGAGCTGCAATGTTTCCCAATATTGACCAGCTGTGGCTTTCCCCCATAGTGTTTTTCCATAACTGAGGTTATTTGGGAGTTCTCAGGTTCAACTTCCTTCCAGGGTGAACACTCCTCTCTACACATGTGATGTGAACTTGTCAACCCATCTGTGGCCCACGGTGGCATCAAGCTGTGTGTCATACATATATCCAGGACAAATGTGCTTTATAGTTTAGTTAAGATTTAGGCAATGCCTCTGCAAGTCACATACTAAAAGGCCTGAATATAAAGCTGCTCATGGAGTGGAACTGGATGTAAAATCGGTCTAACAAGAAGCTAGAGAGAGTCCCATGTCTGAAGAACAAAATAACCTTCATCTAAGTCACACTTAAGAAACTCTAAACACGTGGGGGCCTCTGGAGGAAAGAGTAGATGGGATACAGGAGCTTTGTCAAGGTAGAAGAAGCAGACACCTGTCTGATAAGAGCTTGGAATGTCCGTCTCCTCCCTACTTGATTACTTGATCTAGTGCCTTTGTGTGTAATGTCATCTCCTGTGCAGTGTCACCTCCCCCACATTCTCTTTGGCCTGATGCTCTACAGTGCACACTCAACGCCAGCCGCCTCCACTGAAGAGGTGGAAACTGGTCCTCAGCCTCCCCTCTGCGTCTAGGGGCTGGGCTAGGCTGGAGAAAGGCTGAAGTTGTTGCAACAGAAAGAATTTCAATTACCCAAAGAGATATGCAAAGAGGAGAGTTGAGCCTATGAGGTCATGGGTGGTTTGACATGAGATTCAGTAAGTACCTGGCTAATAATAGAGCACTCAGCTCCACGGAGACAGAGCTCTGGTGTGACATCTAGACATCTAAGAAAGCCGGACTCACTCACTAAGAATTTGTGCTGCAAATTCTTCAGGTGAATGGGGCTTCTGGGTCCTAACACTGGTGTACCTGTGCTTGCCTTGTGAATGGGCAGGGTAAAGACGCACCTACCACTCACAAACTCCTTTTTTGGTGCTCAGAATTCCAGCTACAGCGGCGGCGATGGCAGAGTCTCAGCTTTGTCGTCCTCCAGAGAGGAGAAGTTGGTTGGTTCCCATTTAAATCTTTCACATCCTCTCTACAGAAACTGCAGGTTTTGTAGCATGCTTGAGTGTGGGAACCCCTCACCCCCAACCTGTTTTCCAAGTTTCCACTTGGAATGGATGTTCCTCTGAATTCCGAGGTGTAATTAACATGTGCTACTTCTGTCGGACTCACCACTGTCCTGTATATAACATAAATTATCACATTCAGCCAACTACCATGAGTGAACCAATAGCATGCTTGTGTATATTGTTTTTTGTTTAGAACTGATTCAAGGGGATACAAAAATTAAAAGCCTGTTCCTTCTTGCCTCCTTTCTGAAAACAATACTCTCTAGGCCTGTGCACTTGGTGTCACTTTGTCAGGGATGATATGGCCTTGGCATGAAAATCCAGTCCAGTCTCGCTATCTGCATGCACTCATGTGCATTGGCCTGGACAGCTGACTTCTATTTACGGAAGGGTCCCACCAGCCGGGGCTGGCATGTCCTAGTTAAAGCTCATGCACTCACTGAACTAGGGAACCAGTTTAGGTAGGTGGAGACCTGAATGGGCCCACATAAGCCACAGGATGGACACTCCTGAGTCTTATTGCTAGAATTCAGGCCATCCCCACTTGGCGCCTGTATCACAGTAAATAGCATGGAAATGAGACCGATTTCCCCAGTACTGTCATCAGAATGGATGTAAACTTTAAAGAATAAAGAGAAGGAGCTGAAGAGAGGGCTCAGTGGTTAAGAGCACTGGCTGCTCTTGTAGGGGACCTGGGTTCAGTTCCCAGGACCCACATGGCAGCTCCCAATCATCTGTAACCATACCCAGTGAAATGGCTATTACCTAGGCAGAAGCCGGGATCCCTATACATTTCTGGTTAGGAGTTTACCCACCAAATTTTAAAATTCAGTTCTCAAATCATAAAGACTAAAACCACTAGATCTTATTGGTTAAAATTAACGTGTGTGTGTGTCTGTCTGTCTGTCTGCCTGTCTGTCTGTCTGTTGTACACACTCTACTAACTTAAAGTCTGGTGGAGTCACTCTAGCTCTGTCAATTAATAGGCTCTTGTCCCCCTAACTCTCTTTCCCTCCTGCCCAGCAAGTGCATGCGGGTGCTGTGACGGTGACAAAGGCAGTTTTCTGTGTGTCCAGCCCTAATCCACCCGTGAGATTGAGCGACTTCACAGTCCCCACCCACCTGACCCGACTTGACTGTTTTCTTTCATTGCAGGGACTCTCGTGCTCCGACCTCGGCCTTCCTAGTAGTGGTCTTGCCTGCAAGCCCCTGTCTGCCCAGAATGGAACCCGGGTCTGTCCCCTCCCCCTCTCCCCTGCAAAGCTCTTTGCTGCTAGGGCACTTAGAGGCTCTTCAACCTCGCCAGCGTGCACTCAGCAGGGCCAGCCAGGCTCAGGGCTGTTTGGAATGGCTTGGCTAGCTTGCTGAGACTCTCCTCAGTCTCCTAATATGTACTTTAGGACCTAATAAGGAAAAACAGACTTTAGGGAATGGAGGGTTTAGTGAAATGTATACTCAAAGAAACAAAACAAAATTAAAAATCCCTCAAGTTCAGAAAATTGGTCTCTTGGGTTTCTCCATTTCCAGCAATTGTTCCCCCACTTGGGGTTCCAAGTTGCTTTTTTAAAGAACAATATTTTTCTTTTGTAAATGTGTCCAGGAAGCAACCTGCAAGGTCTCTGCACACATTGCCTCCTGCGTCTTGGAGAGGTAGACAGAACCAAGTATTTCTTTGACTCTCTGGCCCTTTCCTGTTTTCACAAGGCGGAGTTCAGGGCCAGCCAAAATGGGCCTTTCTTGCTCTGGGCATGGCAGCTCTGTTGCAGCTCAAGGGCGCCATGTTAGAAATCCCAGTGCACATGCTCATTTGGAGACTGGCTGTCTCCTTTGCAGGCAGACTCAGCGGCTGGAAGGTCTGTCTCTTGGGCCTACGTCTTTCCCTGCTCTCTCCCGTGTCCTATGCCATGAGTCTGCATGCGAGTCCTGACTCATAACTGGGTCCTGTACCTCAGAGGTTTGTCTCGGTATCCCAGCACGACCCCTTGTAGCTCTGCTCTGCGCTACTCTGTATTCTAGTTGTGCATCCCCTGGGGCTTTTGGAAGTGCCAACCGTGAGCAACCAACAGCCTTATACTCCCCTCGTGTCTTGACTGCCACGGTGACCCTGATAGAAACAGTCATACCCTGATACATCCTCTCTAGTTTTCTGTACCTGAGGGGCTGGTTGAAGGTCCCCCTTGATATCAGAAGCCAAAGGTACTCAAGTCCCTGAGATAAAATGATGTGGCATTTACATAATGTCAGCACATCCGCTGTGAGCATTAAGTCAGTTCCCCCGGCTTACTCATGATGCCTAATATGTAAATGTTGTGGACTAGCTGGTACGCCGTGTTCAGAGAATGACACAGGCAGTCTGTCCATGTTGGGTGCACACTGCTTTCTTTTGTTTTTTCAGATATTTTTGATCCTCAGTTGGTTGTACCCAGGGATGCTGAACCCTAGATATGGGGTTGAGCTATGAGGTACCTGGGTGGTCTTGAACCTGCCCGGTGACTATGTCCTTCTATTGGCTTTGCTCCAGGTCTTCTTCCAGCATCATCTGAAAAGAAATGTCTGAAAAGCAATAACCTCATTCCAGAGATGCTGGGGAAGTTTGTGCTTTTAAAGTTAGAAATTGTATCGCTTATCTTTCCTGTAAATTTTGGATTTCCATGTGTCCAGTCCCCTGAAAACACAATAACTTAACTTTGGCTTCTTCTTATAAGAATGGTATTATATTATAGTTATTTAGCTACCAGAACCGGACTCGTGGCATGGCGGCCTTAATGCTGCTGTCTGTTGCTGTTTTCCCAAGGTCTAAAGCCCACTGTTTGCTTTCCTCCTGCAGCCCTCCTTTCTATACAGTGCTGCCCGGCCTGCAGGGAGTTTCCGGGTGCGTGTGTCCCCACCCCTGCCATGCATGCTCCCCTCTGCCTGTTGCACATGCTCTGCAGCCCTGAGCCCCATTTCCTGCCCTGCTGGGGAAGCCGCACTTTCCTCACAGCTTACCACCCCCCTTGTGGTCTTCACGGGTCCCCTTTTGTCAGATCTGGGCTTTCTCTTCCCTGACAACAGCTGTCACCCTGTTCCATCTCTTGGAAGACTTGTTTAAGGTTGTTAGGAAGGAAACAATGCCAACATTTACCTATTGTCAGAAAGACAGATGGCTCCAGAATGTGTTGACAGCCGTAACAGACTCTAACCCACGTTGCCATAGTACTTTGGAAATTTTCATGTGACTATATTTTGGAAATTTCCAGTTTTTAATGTAGGTTCTTACATTCTGCAGAAAACTAGGTTTTCAAAGATGTTGTATTAATAACTGTGACTTTTCTACCACATTGCATATACTTAGGCGTTAGGTATGTATGTAATTACATGACTAACCTAGCCCCAGGGTTCCCTGAAGAGGATTAAGGAAAATTCAGGTGTCTTTAAAGGGGGAAGAGTTTGACATGACTGCCTGAAATCTTGTAAACATCTTTCTCTATGATTAATTGCATACAATTTCAAGGTAATCAAACACTGTTTTCTGTGTAGCAAATTCTGAAGAGATATAACGTATGCAACATCAAAACGATAATTACCATAATTTTTTATTTCAAAGCCACTCCACGCAAGAAAAATTGTATAAACAAAGTGTATGAGGATGCTTTGACGAACTTCAGGGTGTTTGAGTGGCTTGCCAATTTCCAGTCTGGATTGGTAATTCTCGTGTGGAACGTTTTTCAGAATAACAGTTTCCAGTGCTCTCGTGAAATTGCATGCCTACTGACAGCAACTTCTGATTCCTACACCTTTTAGTTCTCTGTGGCTCTCTGAAGAACTGAAGAGGGTCTCGTGGAGCCTGCATGGTGTTTTCCAGAACCTCTGCCTGCACATATCACCCTTGCTAACCTTACCTTCAGTGTTTCCTTCAAAAAAGAGTGTGCTTCCTGCCCTGACCATCTGTTCTTGTCGCAGACGTCGTCCATGCTGGATGAGAGCAGCCTCTATGGGGCTCGGAGGGGAAGCGCCTGTGGTTCCCGAGCTGTAAGGCGCTTTTCATGTTTCCCATCATGCCTCACTGTGTGCTGCATGACCCAGAGGTGTTTGTTGGATGGTGACTGATGTCACAGGAGGAAATGCTGCCTGTGTTTTCCTTTGTGATAAAGGTCATGGATGATGGAATCAGGAAATCTTTGCTTGTTAATTTCGTTGTCCTCACTCATCAGTTTGTACTGAGGAGACTAGGCTTAACTGGATTTCATCCGCTTCAGTCCCTGCAACCCCCGAGCAACATAACAAGTAATAATGAATGTCTGAGCCTGAGAAAAGGAGAAAGGGGGGCTTGGGCAGACCCCCAGGGTTGCTTTGACGATGATGGTCTCACTTTGCAGGGCTTGTACCTGTCCCCTCACGACCCCCAGACAGCTAATAGTTGTATGTAGTAACCCAATCTTGACACTGTGGGAGGAGTTTCCACCCATCTGAGCAGCATCCAGGAGGACTGTTTCTAACAGGAAGTGAGAGCAGAGACAGGCCCTACAAACGTTCTCTTCTTCGGGGTGGGAGCATCTGTGCTGGCCTGTCCTAATGTCTGTTTCTCAGACAACGTCTTCGAGTGGCCAATGGGATGGAGGTGTGATTATATTAGGTGCCCACTGGCCACTTGGCTCCTGTACATAGGTGACACCTGAGGCCTGGCGACATGAATGCTTCTCGTCCAAAGGGTCAAATCAGTCCAGCAGGTCAGATATCTGTTCTGACTAAGGGTCCTTAAGTGGGAAGGAAGCAACATGACATGGTCTTTATGTCTCTGTACACCCCACACCTGGGTGCAAACGTGTCTTTGTCCAGTGGAGAAATGTAGTCGGGTTGCCTCTGTAGGCCTGACCATGCTGCCCACAGTCCTTTAAGACACCCGGTGCTTTTGTTTAACCCTCAGTGACTTCTGGACATGAGGTGACACATGGAGTCTGGGAATATAGTATAGCTGCTGAATTTCAGGAGGGTCAAGTCAGGCCAGCTAGTCTGAGAAATGTTCTGACCCAGGAGCCTTGGGTTGGCAGGAAGCAACATGAGGTTGCTAGCATCGAGCTGGAGTCATTCATTTGTTCATGCATTCAGCAAGTGTGTCTTAAGTGCACCAGGCTTTATCTGCTCACTGAAGAGTCACCGAAAACGGAGTAGATGTGTGGGACTGGCTCTCTGGTGGGAAGACAAACCAAGAGGTGGTACTTAAGATGGCATCCTAAGCATCCCTGGAGATCCAGAGTCCTTATGGTTTACAGTGAAGTTGATGCTTGCAAGCCTCTGAGGCCAGCAGTCAGGTGGCTGAATACAAACTAAAGTTTAGAGGCTATAGCCCAGTGGCTGTCTTCTTCCATCATCAGAAGTTAGAAAGCTGGGATGGGCAGGTGTAGACGGGGCACTCAGAAGACAGATCCTCCAGTTTCTACCTGGAAAGGTGGCAGAAAAGCAAAAGCAAAAACACAAAAAACTTCCTTTCAGAAATGCCATGGCCCCACCCCACTCCCCACCCCCACCCCGAGCTACTTTCTGAGCTGAAATGCAACTGAAGGTGGCTCGGGATTTCACAACTGCCACGGCATAGCCAGGAGGTGAACACAGGAGATGAGATGCATGAACATCCAAGCTGAACGATGCTTGCTGTTTTCCTGCAGCTCTACCCTGTGGATAATGCAGTTGTGTTTTATTCTTGGGAGATGTTTACCTGACCTTGTGGCGAATGCGGACTCCTTTTCTGAGTCTGCTCCCTAACCCTAACCTGTCTTTCCTCCCTGCTGTGTGTGTGGCTAACCTCCACACTAACCGAAGTGCGATCTTGGTGGCTTTCATTCTCCTTGCCTCTTTGCTGACCTGTCCCTTTGTTTCTATCTCTGCATCCTGTGGTGGCTCCATGGTAGCCCTCAGAGTATAGCAGCCACCTCAACTCCAGCTCCCGGGCCTCCTCCAGGGCCAGCTCGGCGCGGGCCAGCCCTGTGGTAAGTCTGCTTCATGGGCCTGCTGCCCTTCAGCTCCCTTCCTTCCTCCTTCCCCTCTGCCTCCCTGTCCGCCACCCCTTTCTGTCCCTTAGAAAGCCAGTATAGTCAAGGTGAAGCTAGAAGCCTCTCATTTTATTTCAGGTCTTAGTAAATATGGGTGGGAAATGGTATTGAGTCTAGAAAATGCTATTGGGTGGTGTCAGGGGAGCACAGCTCTCCTTCTCAAGGACCATAACAGAACAGAAGTCATTAGTGATGCTTAGAAATGAGGCATGAGGCGGAGAAAGTCCATTCTGGGGATGTAAAACTGTAGCCTCGTGTGTGGATGTGCTGCATTTTACGATTTAAAATTTCAAGGGTTTGACTGTTAGCATTGGCTTTGGAATTGTGTGGGTTATCAGACCCCACCACGTTTTAGAATAAAGTAAATGCTTTGCCACACTCAGTCCTGCTTAGGTCACCTGTTGTCACATTTGCTCAAAAACTGCATAGAAGGTGTCACCAGGGTGCTGCTCTCTTTGTGGTTCACCACTTGTCAGACAGGACAGGAGGAGCCAAGGCCCCAAAATCAGGTCCTGTACTGTTTGACAGTGTCACCCAATTGATCAGTAGCTTTCTTTGAGGTTACTTTATCATTATCTAAACAAGAAATTGGGGGGACAAGGGGATATCTGCTGTCCTCCTCCATTGCTGCCTGGTTCTTGCTGATTTGGCTGAGCACCCAGAATCCTCCTGCCTCAGTACTAGGATTACAGGTGCACACACCACCAAGCCTACATTTTTTTTAACGTGGGTTCCAGGGATCAAACTCAAATCCTCATCAAGCCTGCATAGCAAGTAGTTTACCAACCGAGCCATCTCCCCAGTCCCCTTGTTTGTGTCTCATAGCCCCAGATGGCCTTGAACTCACTATGTACTTGAAGGTAACTTGGAACTGCCGATCTTCCTGCCTCCACCTCCCTAGGATACAGCACCATAACTGACTAAACAGTTCTGGCTGGGGTGGGGAGACATGCCCAGACTTTAGCAAGAGGTGTGGGTGGAGGCTCACACTTGGAAAGCCATGGGTGGAAAGTGCAGACAGTCCAGGCCAATCTCTTTTATCAGCTCACATCAAAACTGCCAGACATAAATACACATAGTTGGGGGACTCAGTTCTCCAACGTTCATTGCCCAGGATTGGTCACTGCACCACAGAATACAGGGGAGCCAAGACACATACTTACACAGATGCGTTCATTCTGGGGTTTCCTGCCAGAAGCAGCTTCCCCTGGAGGAGCCAGTGGGATCCCTTGCAGCTATGAGCCTCTCTGTGGAGTCAGTTCAAACCTAGTGCCCCTCCCCTATCCCATTATGTATCTTTCCTTTAAGTTGGAATGGCTGTCTTGAGTACCTTAGCCTCTGTGGCACTATAACACATGCAGTCTAATCCATGAGGAGCCTTCAAATTACTAGAAACAAAGCAATGGCAATTAAGCGTAGAATCCTCTTCCTCGTGCATAATAATCGAATGCGCACTTGGGGAGTAAGTGGAGTGTTTGCAACCAAGATAAGAAGTCTGTAGCTTTACTTCCAAAGATTCCCAACAACCCCCCACTCCACCCCACCCCTGCTGCCCAGAGTGGTAAAGCAGGATTATTTGCCACCACTAGACATGGTCCTTGGATTTATTAAGTATCACAATGAAGTCATGGTATGACAACATTCATGGTCACTGTGATTGGAAAAACTGAAGTCGGATGCAGATATATTTTCTAGAACTTAGGAAATTTTGCACACATGAAATAAGGTGTTTTTTTGTTTGTTTTTTGTTTTTCCACAGAGCTTCATTGTAATCTGTGAGGCAAGGGAAGTGACCTCTTTGGGGTGTGGGCACACACCCCCACCTTTGCTAAGGCCATTACAGAGATAATGAGTAGACATTTCTCCTCCTAGTCACCTGTCAGTTGCCCCAGAGGTCCATCGATCATTGTTTCTGTTGTCGCATTCACTGAGCAAAGGTCAGGGCAGAGGAGTGAGGGAGACAGGCTGTCCTCCAGACTCACTCTGCCACCTTGCATTAGCCAGGTACCTCCACACTGATCAAGGAACCGCCTATGTGTGGTTCTTAGGTGCAGGAACACCTCTATAAACGCAGGACAGTCCCAGGAGATTCTTCTGTCAGCGGGAGGGTCACTGGCCTTTGCCAGGTCCCTCTCCCAGGGCCCTGGCCTTGACCTCCTCCTCCCTCTCAGGCAAGAAGACCCACAAGTCCACACAGGAACATCTTGGCTTCTTCCCACCAGCAAGGCCATACACGCTCTCAGACACTTCCTGTTAGCAGCCAGCCCAAATCACCCACCCCAGTGTAGTAATAGCCCCAGGACATAGGAAAGCATAGTGCTAATACTGACCTAAATCTTGAAAACAGCAGGAGCTAGGGCTAGCTCCATTCTTTGTGCCTTTTTAGGTACCAGGATGCTGGGTTTGTCACCCTCTGCCCTTGGGACAAACAAGGACTCCCATCTGGTCTCTGTGGGAGGCACATGCAGCGGGATGTGTGGCAGGACAGGAGTTATAAGACAGGGTTCACATGCCGCAGCTCCCATTCCTGGCTTGACGACGTGTAGGCAGACGTATAAACTCCTGAGATAAAGCTAGAAGGAACAGCTTCCTGAAAGGCACAGTTTGTTTCTGCTCGGCTCGAGCTGTCTCAGCCACAGCACGAGCCAGTTGTTGGTGTCCATATTGGCTCTTGGAAAATCCCCCTGACCTGGTACCTCACCAGGCGTGAGAAGAAAATACAAAAGCCAGCTGCAGCACTCAAGGCTCCGCATCTCACATCTGTCAGATGGGAATCAAGGGGTACTACAGGATGGGGGCAGGGAGTCGCAGCTGAAGAGCAAAAGTCACCAGAACAAAGGAAGCGATCATTCATGCCCCTTTAAGAACATGAGTGTGCCCCCCTGTCCATAGCCTATTGCCAGAGTCAATCGAGGCTAAAAACCGCAGGCTCCCAACGATGCAATTCTCGGGGAAGCCAAGAGGCATCAGTCCCAATGCAGATGGCAGGTGACTGTGTTCCACCTCATTGCGACACTACTGCCCACTCCCACAACCCCCACATCCATTCCACCTGTCCATCACCAGTCCTAATTAGTGTTAGCTGTCAACACAGCCTAGGACCACCTGAAAGCTCAGCTGTTTGCCCATTGAATCTGAAAACAAATACTCTTGTGACTCATGTCACAGGCAGGACCCAGGTGAAGAGCAAGCCTGCATCTATGGGTACAAGAATAGATTTTTTTTTAATTTTTTCAAGACAGGGTTTCTCTGTATTGTTTTGGAGGCTGTTGTGGAACTCGCTCTGTAGACCAGGCTGGTCTCGAACTCACAGAGATCTGCCTGCCTCTGCCTCCCGAGTGCTGGGATTAAAGGTATGCACCACCAATGCCCGGCTGGGTACAAGAGTAGATTTAAAACTAACAGTTCACCAAGTATGGAGTCATGTGACTAATCCCAATACTAGAGAGGCTGAGAAAGGTGCACCATGATTTTAAGGCTATCTTGGGTTCCATAGTGAATCCCAGGCTACTCTCAGCTACATAAATTCTGTCTCCAAAATAAAATCAGGGCCAGTGAGATGGCTTAGTGGCTAAAGGCACTAGCTGCCAAGCCTGATGACCTCTAAGGCATACAGATGAGAACCAAGTCCCACGAGTTATCCTCTCACTTCTCCACATATGTCATAGCATGCATACACACCCTAAATAAATAATAAGTAATAAACCAAAATCCCCACACTAATGGTGACCTCCACTGTCACTGACATTGGAGGGAAGCAGCCTTTGAAATGGACATTCCCTGAATAGAGTTTGCTGTGTCACTTGTATTGCAAGGGTTGTTGCAATGACATTGCTTCAGGGACCCTGTTTGCCTTCCAGTGACTGATGTGGCCTGTCTGGGAGTTGGGACCATGAGGCTAGGTTCTCTCTTGGGCCAGTTCTTGCTTAGGTCTCTTCTAATGGGCCAGCAGACAGTGACATGCAAATAGATGTTTAGAACCTCATCATATGATCTTCATAAGAAACCTGCAGAGATAGTGTGGGTGGGACTCACACTTACCGTCCTCCTAAAGGACCTGTTTTTGGAAGGGAGGGATTTGCCATTGATCTGTGCTTCGGGAGGAAAAAAATATTAAAGAAAGCAAATTGAGACGAGTTCTTACTCTATAGCCCAGCATGACCTCAAACTCATGGTAATCCTCCTGCCTCAGCCTCTCAAGTACTAAAATTACAGGCATGTGCCACCACAGCTGGCTCCAGTAGATTTTGGAAGATGTCTTTGAGTACGCTCAGTGGTGACTATAAAAGACCAGCATGCATCATTTAGAATTCTGTTAGTGGGACATTAATCTGAAATACTGAGTACTAGGAAATGGAAATTTAAAAACAAAACAAAACAAAAAAACAGTAGGTTGCATGACGCCCGGTCCCCTTGCCGTTTCCACAAAGGGAAGGCCAGTGTTTGCAGGTCTAGTGGCCTGTCCCTTGTGTCTGCTGTGTCCACCTCTGATGGCCTTGTCTCCACGGCAGCCTTTACAGCAGGTCACACAGCAGCCATGGATGTGTTCCCCTCCCTTGTTTATTATTTTCAGAGGTACATTGGCACGCTCTCTGTCAGAGTGAAGGATACCGTCTGGTTTGCTTTTCTGTCCCTTTGTGTCTGGGACTTTGTGGAAAGGTATCGCTGTCCACCTGCATCTTTCTAGGCCTGACCTGAGGCAGACCTGGCCATGCTGCCACCTAGTGGAGCCAGTGGGAACGGCAGCTCTGTGGGCCCTTATCTCCTCACAGGGGACCCCAGCAGCTGCCTGCTTCACGCTGGGGAGGATGCATTTCATAGAGACACATGAAATGCACCTTGCAGCATGCTGTTTTGTTTTCCGTTCCATTTTATTTTCAAATTGACACGGGGCATCTGTTTGCCACCCCCAGCATCACAAAGCTGGACCTGTATATCCTGTCTCTACTTTGGACTCATTCATATTCATCTATAGGCCAACTTACCCAAGGAATGTTTGACAGTTGTCCATTTCCTCCACAGGTAGAAGAGAGACCAGACAAAGACTTCACTGAGAAGGTAAGGGATTTCTGCAAGCCTCTGTCTCGGGTTAGCTATTAAACTATAGGATCCTGGGTGAGACTGAGCTTGGTGACTTGTTGTTTAATAAAGCAAGTGAATGACTGAGACTGCTGAGTGGGCCACACAGCGTGACGTTGTATCTCCAAAGGGGTCCAGAGTGAGTGCTGAAATCTGAGGGACAAACCCAGAGCACCGGTGAAACATCTCTGAATGAGCCTTTTGAACAGAAGCCCATGGGAGATTGTCCGGTGTAGAAGCTGAGTTAAAGAGAAGGTGTGCTGAGGCTAGGGAGATGGCTCAGTGGGTAAGAGCGCTTGCTGCACAAACGTGAGGACCTGAGTTCAAATCCCCAGCACACGTAAAGAGCTGGGTGTGTTCACATGTACCTGTAACCCCGGTGCTGTAGCTGGCCAGCTAGTCTGGACAAAATGGCAAGTCTCAGGCACAGTGAGAGGGAATCTCAAGGGAATTCAGTGGAGAGTGACAAAGAGGACAACTGACAGGCTCCACACTGTTATCTACACGTGCCCATATCGCACACGCACACTTACACACAGAAATGATCGTCTGTGGAAGCTAAAAATGGCACATGAGAGAAAAGGTTCTGAGGTGTTAGACTTGTTGGTAATTTTGGTTTTACTGAATCACATTTGATCTTCACCCTTTCCAGGGGTCCCGTAACATGCCCAGCTTGTCTGCTGCCACGCTGGCTTCTCTGGGTGGGACTTCCTCCCGGAGAGGAAGTGGAGATACCTCCATCTCCATGGACACCGAGGCATCCATTAGGGAAATTAAGGTAAGACACTGTGCTGCTTGTGACTTGACAGAGCTCCTTGGAAGCCTGATTAGTCTTCTTCATATTTACAGATATTTAGTTTGTGAGGTTTCCAGACCAGTCCCATCTCCTCCGTCTGCCTGAAAACACGACTTCCTCCTAACACAGAACCCAGCTGAGGCAGCGTCTTTGTGGGAAGCTTTACCTGCTTGTACCCAAGCAGGGAGGAGCATGTGTCCTTGTCTGTGGCCATCCGTGCTTTGTTCTCGATGGTCTCTGGGCCATGCCGTCTCTCACCATGTGCCAACAAATGTAGATGTTCACTTTCATTTTCTGGAGTATTCTAGATGGTGAAATATTCTGGTCGTCTACCCTCATATCCCTGGACCACAGCCAGTGCCCACCCTCCGTCTCTAAACTGCGTGCTGTCCCTTCTGTTTGTGCCTCTGGTAGACTTCACTCCATCTTGGTGATTTTCTTTTTAATAGCACAGATGCTATTCTCTGTTAAACCTTTGACACCAAGGATGGTGCCATGTTTGGTGACCTTCTCAGTATGTGGAAAGACACACAGACGAGCACTGTTCATTATTAGCACAGTGCATGCCGTTAGGTAACTGGAGCGATTGTGTCCCAGACAGGAAAGGAATGGAGGATAGGTGACAGAGAGCAGAGCAAGAAAGAGGGTGGAAAGGGCTGCTCTGGCTGATTTTGTGGGAGAATTCATCATACTCAGATCTGGTTCACCGGCACCCAGATCCCACTGGTGGTGCCTAAAGCAGCCAGATAGCATTTGCCAGAACAGAGAAGGGATTGAAGCGGCAGCTGGCGTTAGACCTGAAGTGCAGCTTCCATATTTTGCAAGTGTGAAGCCAGGATAGTTGCTTTCTGTCTGCTCCCCTAAAATGCCATGTACCAGACCCCAGCCTTCTCAGCAACCACCGCTGTTGCTTTCTCCTAAAGTCCTATTTAGCCTCTGCTCTCAGATGTGAGTACCAGTCATTTGCCTGGCATATGTTGTGGCACATCTGTCCCCAGGTACCAGGCACATGGAGAGAATCAGGATGGAGACTGGGAATTCTTTAAGTGCGGGACTGGGATGTGCTGATACCAGCAGCTCACTGTGTCTGTGGGGTAGGAAGACAGAGAGCTAAACTCTTGTCAGAGTTCTTTTCGCTAGTTATTGTTGTTATTTTATTTATGTGTACCTGTGCCACATGTGTGCCCGCAGAGACCAGGCGGGGGGCCGGGGGAAAGTGTTGGATCCTCTGGAGCTGGAGTTACGGGTGGTGAATCGAGCCAGCCACCTGACTTGGGTGCTGGGAACTAAACTGGGGTATTCGGGGAGAGCAGCAGGCACTGTGAGCCTCTGAGCCATCTCCACCCACCCTCCACTCGCCTGTTTGTTTGTCTGCTCTTTAAAGATTTACTTAGTTACTATTTATTTTATGTGTATGGATGTTCTGCCTTCATGTATGCCTATGTGGTAACATGTGTGCCAGGTTCCCACGGAGACAAGAACAGGGTATCAGATGCCCTGGAATGCAGCTGCAAAGGGTTGTGAGTCACCTTGTGGTAATCGTATCCAGGTCCTCGGGAAGAACAGCCAGTCCTCTTAACCAATGAGCCATCTCTCCAGCACCAACTTTTTGTCCTTATTTTTTTGTTTTGTTCAGTTTTTTTGTTTGTTTGTTTTTTGAGGCGGGGTTTCCCTGTGTAGCCCTGGCTGTCCTGGAACTCACTCTGTAGACCAGGCTAGCCTTGAACTCACAGGGAGTCACCTGCCTCTGTCTCCCGAGTGCTGGGATTAAAGGCGTGCACCACCACTGCCTGGCTCTTTCCCCCCATTTTTGGTTTTTTGTTTGTTTGTTGTTTTTCGAGGCAGGGTTTCTCTGTATTGCTTTGGAGGCTGTTCTGGAACTCACTCTGTAGACCAGGCTGGCCTTGAACTCACAGAGATCTGCCTGCCTCTGCCTCCCAAGTGCTGGGATTAAAGGGGTGCACCACCAGCACCCGGCCCTTTTCCCCCATTTTTAATTATAAAACAAGATACAATGTATTAAAATGTGTGAGCTACACATAAAATTTTATCTTTATAATGCGGAAGCTTATTTTTCACTTCCCTTTAATGCCTGATAAAATAAAGAAGGAACCATGTCTCTGCGTAAACAATGGGGCAGACCCAGACATGAGAAAGGCGTTGGTGTGCGTGTGAACTCTACCGATTCCCTCCCTTGACGTCATCTGCCTTTTGTGCGTTTCCCTCAGGAACTTAATGAGTTAAAGGACCAGATTCAGGATGTAGAAGGCAGATACATGCAGGGACTGAAAGAGATGAAGGTATCGGCGTGTGGACGTGTGAGCCCGTGACACTAACCCATCTTAACCTTAAAAGCCTCACAGAAGTGCCGTGCGCATGCTCACCCTGCAGGGCACCAGCTGTGGAGAGTGGGGGAGCATGGGAATTCTAACACTGTGTGCATCGGTCTTCTTCCAAATGCTCTTTATGAACACAGCGAGTCCCTGGTGGGAAAGGTGACCAGCCCACCCCTTGATATGGGGTGGTGCTCAACACCCTTCCGCTAGGCTCAGAGACAATGTCTCGTTTTTTTGCAAACACAGCAGACAGACACTGGAGAGTTTTGGTTCTCCTCACACTCCGTAGTTGTCCCTTACAAGTGTCATGATCCCTGTTTGCTTTGCCGAGCTCTCTAGGTATGTCTAACAAGTATGCTTTGGAAGCATCCAGGTTAGTGCATGCTGTCAACTTGTACTTAGGGGACAGCATCTGAGAGTGTTTGTGTGTCCACTGCTCTCAGAACTGTGAAGGACATCGTCATCCCAACAGGAAATGTAGCTTCCTAGTTCCTTAACAATCCTTGGGTGAGCAGGTGCCAAGGCCCAGGCAGCCATAGCCACCAAAGAGCCCATGGCAAATCTGGATTCAGCAGTACAGATCTGTCACTTCTTTTTCAGCTCCCCAGAAAGGGCCTAAGAAGTCATCTAAATTCCATAGCAGTAAGTGGCATAAGTCACATATACTAACTGGTCATTTTCATGGTCATTTCTATATAAGAGAAAGATTAAGACCCTGGCTTTTCATTCACTTAAAGTGAAGCCAGAGAATCAACCGGCATCCGATGGTACCACCTTAGGTTGTCACAGTGTGGATGCCCAGAGCAAGACCAGTGCAGGACTCCACAGGGCCTCTTCGCAGCCCTGGCACTTGAGCCGACACCTCTCTCTTAGACTGGTGGCTGGCTCTCAGTCGCCTGCTGACTGCCCCCTCCGCCTTCCTGGCATCTCTTTCATGACGTTCACATGTTAGAGCCTACAAAAGTGGGAGCCATGTTTGGACACTGTCAATATTATCTTTTACAGTTTCTTTCCCACGACTGCCTTTCAAACAAATGACCTTGGTCTTTCCAGGACCTACCCAGTAAGACCTGTCTGTGTACCTTGTTTTATTCCCCATGAGTCAGAAACCTGCAATGGCCACGAATCCTTTCCTGGTTCCCGAACCTGAGCCAGGTGGCCTAGGAGTAGCTTGTGGCGGGGTTTTATTTACATCAGTGACGGACTCTTTCCCAGGCTGTAGCCACATACTGAGTGATAACTCCAGAAACCATTGAGCTGCCATGGCCCGTGGTGGAAAGGTCCTGGCTGCTGCTTCTCTGAGCAACTGCATCCCACATACCTCCTTGTCTTAAGGAGAAGGGAGGTCGCTGCTAGCTACTTTTCCTATTGCTGTGACCAGATGCTGTGACAAAAGCAGCTTAAAGGAGAACTGGTTTATTTTGGTTCACAGATCAAGGACGTAGTCTATCATGGCAGGGAGTCCTGGTGACAGGAATGAGAAACAACTGGTCGTATTGCCTGTGCAGTCCGCAAGCAGAGAGCCGTGAGGGCTGGTGTTCCGTTTCTCATTTCTATGCAAGCCAGGACTCCAGCTCAGGGATGGCCCACATTTAGGGTGGATCTTCCTGCCTTAGTTACCTAGTTAGCATAATTCCTCACAGGCAAGCCATAGGCTACAGTTGCTCTCCCTCTACTTATCTGAGTGGACAGGACATTGAAAAGTGGGCTCTGTGCTTTTGAAACGGCTCTCTCTCTCTCTCTCTCTCTCTCTCTCTCTCTCTCTCTCTCTCTCTCTCTCTCTCTCTCTCTCTCTCTCTCCCCCTCGGTTTTTCGAGACAGGGTTTCTCTGTATTGTTTAGGAGGCTGTCCTAGAACTCGCTCTGTAGACCAGGCTGGCCTTGAACTCACAGAGATCCATCTGCCTCTGTGACCCGAGTGCTGGGATTAAAGGCGTGTGCCACCAACGCCCGGCGCGCTGTGTCTCTTCTCATCTAAGAAACAAAGGCTGAGATTGGAAAAGAACTCTGGCTTAATCTCGCCTTGTTTTTCTTTTTGCAATTTTGAAACAATGGCCTCGTCTCTTCAGGACTCGCTGGCTGAAGTTGAGGAGAAGTACAAGAAGGCCATGGTCTCCAACGCCCAGCTGGACAACGAGAAGACCAACTTCATGTACCAGGTAGACACGCTGAAGGACATGCTGCTGGAGCTGGAGGAGCAGCTGGCGGAGTCTCAGAGACAGTACGAGGAGAAGAACAAGGTTAGCGTGCTCTGCTCAGGGACGCTAGGGGGAGCTGTGTGCATATGGTGTACTTATATTTTTCTTAAGGATTTTTATCTTTGCTAATTATAGGTTTGTATACTAGCTTGCAGAGACCAGAGGATGATGTATGATCCCCTAGGGCTGGAGTTACAGGCAGCTGTGAGATGCTTGATGTGGGTGCTGAAAATTGAACCCTGGTTTTCTACAAGAGCAGTATATGCGCTCAGCTGCTGAGCCGTTTCTCCAACCTGCTTTTTAAACAGTGATTCTCTACTTGTCCAGAAAGCCCAGAGTCTGAGAATTAGAATACTGTGTCTTTGTCATACGTGATGGCGATGGCTATGATCCCAGCATGTAAAAGGCTGAGGCAGGAGAATTGCAAGTCTGAGACTGACTTAACAGGACTCCACTGCCAAACAAAACAACCCCAAGGGCAGGGGACATAATTCACTCTGCAAACCCTGCTGCACAGCATTCAGACCTGAGGTCAGTCCTCAGCATCTGTGGTGGCATGTGCTAGAAATCCCAGCTGAGGAGGCAGAGACAGGTGGTCTACGGTGCTTACTGGGTAGCCAGACTGGCTGAATCAGCCAGCTCCTGACCAGGAGAAACCCTTTCTCAAACACCAAGGTCAGGCCTAGAAAGACGGCCCAGTGCTGAGGAGTGCATGGTGTCCTGCAAGGAGGCCATGTGTGGTTCCCAGACTCTCGTCAGGTAGCTCTCCAGCACCTGTAATGCTAGCTCCTGGGGATCTGATGGCTGTGGCCTCTGTGGGCATCTACACGTATGTGTGCAGACCCACACACACATATACATAAGTAAGAATAATAAAATCAGCCTTGAAAAGAAAAAAAAACTCAAGGACGACAGCTCCTGAAGAATGACTCCCAGGGCTTCCATGCACCTATGCACATAGGTGCACACACGTTTATATATACACATGTATGCGTATAAAACTCAGACACCTGTGCTCTTCTCTGAGTAATTTGAAATGTCAGTCTGCATAGTTTCAATTTGTAAGCTAGAGAGTTTTACTAGAATGTTGGTATTTTGCATGAAAATAAAGCAACCATGAAAAAGCTTGTATATGGCCACTCGGTGGTGGCGCACGCCTTTAATCCCAGCATTCAGGAAGCAGAGGCAGGCGAATCTCTGTGAGTCTGAGGGAGATACTCCTCAGCCGCACACTGTCCGGGAGTTAACTTTAGAGGAAACTGTGTGATCGTCCTCTATGGAGAGCAGAGAAATGAGTTTGTGTCGCTGTGCGCCTTGGAAATGGTGATGACGTGGTAGAGGGTTGTTTGTCCTGAGGGAAATGTGGCTCGTGAGAACGTGAACCGTGTGACAGAAACACACCACTCAACGGCCACCTCGGTACTGTGTTCCTCACCCACAGGAGTTCGAGAGGGAAAAGCACGCCCACAGCATCCTGCAGTTCCAGTTTGCTGAAGTGAAAGAGGCCCTGAGGCAAAGGGAAGAAATGCTTGAGGTGGGCAGCTCCTTTCCTCTTCCCTCTCTGATGGCTCCTTGCTCTGTTAGCCCAGGTTATTTTGACAAATACACCACACACTTGGTGGCCTTGACAACACATGGGTGTTTCTCACAGTTCTGGAGACCAAAGTCCAGGTCAAGGTCGGGCCCAGAGGGTCACCTTCAGTGTTGTAGCCTTAGGAACAGAGAATGTATACTTTCAATATGGACACTCATCCCGCCCAACCTGGGACCCACCCTCATGACATCATTTAACCTTAATGCCTCTGAAGATCTTATCTCCAAACACTGGTCACCTTGGAGGCCCGGGAGTCAGTTCGAAGCAATCCCTAAAGTTAAAGTCCAGGGATCAGGCTAACTTTCCATCCGTTGAGGAGACAGCTCCTCCTGTGGGTGAAGATTCTCAACTCTGGTGTTCATGTCTGTGTGTGTTGGGAGGCCCACCTCTTGAGAAGGCCACATCTTAAGTCCCTAAAAGTCAATATGGAAAAAAGGAGATTCCGAAGGAGAGACTAACGACCTTGAAACGGAAGGTTGTCCTTGACCATCTGTGCGGCTCTGACACAATCACAAGTCAACCTCGAGAGGGAGACACATCAGATGCTGTGGTGGGAGCTGTGTTGACAGCGGTCAAGGTTAGAGTTTGTGAAGAAGGAGCACACAGCAAGAATGTGTGCAGGTTTGAAGACAGTGGTTCTCAACCTGTGGGTCACCACCGTCAGAAAACACATTGTCTCCGATCAGAAATTTGTGTTTTCCGATGATCATGATCCGCAGGTTGAGAATGGATGTTCTAGGAACTGAGAAAGAAAAGGTTATCCATCCTCTCCTCAGAAGATTCTTTCAAAACAGTCTTGGAACTGGGAGAGTATAGTCATGTGACTTCTCGGAAGCTGTTGCCATTTGTTAGAAGGCCATAGGAAACTACCACAAGTGTGTGCCACACAGCATTCTGATCAGCAGTGCGACACACATGTGACAGTGGTCCCATGGATTTTATTACTTAGTGATATGGCAGTCATCACTATTATCTGTAATTTATGATGTTTGCAAACTGATGAGCTCACCTACCTGCACTCTCTCAGTCTGATGTCCTACAGTTAAACAAAGCATGGCTGTATGGGGTTGGTACAGGGTTGGTAACTTAATCAGGACTGTAAGTATGGCTTTGAGGTAAGCTATCAGCCAGGCTGGTTTTCTTCTTAGAATGAGAGTAGAACAGGAAAAGAAGATCCTGTCGTGCTGCTGAATCCGGCGTGCTGAGACCTCCCTGCCGTGGTCGTCCAGCGCCGATCTCTTCTCTCTGCTCAACCCTTTTTGTCTGCTTTCTTTCTGTCTGTTCCTCTCCTCAGGAGATCCGACAGCTGCAGCAGAAGCAGGCGGGTTTTGTCAGGGAGATCTCTGATCTTCAGGAAACCATAGAGTGGAAAGACAAAAAGATAGGGGTAGGAGTCTCAAGCCTTTGCAAAACCGTTCCCGGGGAGGGGTGGGCTGCTCGGCAGATGTGGTTCCTGCAGAAACCTTGGTTTGGAAGAGCGTTTGCATGGGTGTGCATGCAACCCTCATGTGACACACCGTGGATGGCATGGTGACTACCCCAGCTTATGCAGGTGGATGGAGCCGTGGCTGTGTAGCTGGAGCTGTCTCCCTCTCCCTACTGCACGGGGGGGGGGGGGGGGTGCAATGCAGGCCATGCAAGGGGAAAGGCTCTGGGCAGCTCAACATGGAGGATTTGGGGTTTTGTGATGCTGTGTAGGTGGCAGCATGCCATGCTCCACGGGTTCCCATTTTGAAACCTCTACAGGGAGTCCTCCTCAGACCCTTCTCCCTCCTCAGCAGAGAGGAGACAACCCATCCACATTTAGGAGTGATAAATGGGAAGAGTGGACCCTACCAAGTCACTGCTGACTCATAGTGACACATGGTACCTAAAAAGTAGCGACTTATGTGACAGGGCCCCAAGAGAGGTCTAGAGGTGATGTGCCGCATCACAGAGATGGTCACGATATGAAGCCCTACCATTCCACTTTGACATACTCACAAGCCTTGGCTAAGAGACTGTGTGCTTATGCACTGTGTGCACGTGTGTGTGCAAGCATGCTCTTCCAGGACATTGTTTTAAACAACAGATGCTCATAGTCAATGTGTAAAAATAAACTAGGGAGATGGCTGCTTGTGAAGTACAGGCAGCTGAATGTGTGTCACCAGACCAGACGTGGTAACACACATTTGTAACCCTGGCTCTGGAGAGCTGGAGATAGGGACATTCCTGAGGCTCACTGCCCAGCCAGACTAGCCTAATCAGGGAACTAAAGAGGATGGCATTTGAGGAATGACACTTGGTATTGTCCCCTGAATTATACACAGAAATACGTGCACACTGACACACATACATGTGAACAGGAGCATAAACACAAAATGTCTAAAATTATAAAGCGGGGTTCTTTAGCAACCTTTCTGGTTCTGCATCTATCTCTTGTTTAAAGGACCGCAGGACTCCTGTTAACTCTCCAGCACCATGTCATGAGATAAAAACAGACCGAACGCCAGACAGTGGTGTCACATACCTTTAATCCCAGCACTGTGGAGGCGAGTTCCAGGCCAGCCAGGGCCACACAGTGAGACCCCATCTCAAAAAAAAAAAAAACAACAACCCCCCCCACCACCAAAAAAAAAAAAGGAGAAAAGAAAGCGGAGCTAGTAATGGGGTATCTTGGGGATGTGGCTTAGTGGTAGACCACTTGCCTCCCACATGTGAGATCCCTGGCTCAGTCCCCAGTACTACAATGAGAAAACAAAAGAAAATGGACGGTGTAAAGCAGCCTTCCTCCCCAGCATACCTTGCTTTGAAATGCTAATGTGTCAACAGTAGCTGCTCTAGGCTGGCATAAACCCAACAGCATCCTTTCTCACTGGTGCACTGTATGGCAGTGCCTCCAAGTCCTTACTTCTTGCTTATCCTGCTACCTGTGCTAATCTCCCCCTCTCTGTGTATCTCCCTCTCCCCAACCCCTGTCTCTCTCTGTCTCTCCTCTCTGCTCTGTTGCATACTCAGGCATTAGAAAGACAGAAAGAGTTCTTTGATTCCATACGCAGCGAACGAGATGATCTTAGAGAAGAAACAGTCAAACTGAAAGAGGAATTAAAGGTAGGAAACCAGCTGGGCGTTGGTGGCCCACGCCTTTAATCCCAGCACTCGAGAGGCAGAGGCCGGTGGATCTCTCTGAGTTCAAGGCCAGCCTGGTCTACACAGGGAGTTTCAGGACAACAAGGGTTACACAGAGAGATTCTGTATTGGGGAGGGAAGGAAGGAAGGAAGGAAGGAAGCAAGCAAGCAAGCAAGCAAGCAAAGGACCAAGCTGACAACTTCAAGTTCTGTGGGTCTGTGGCCATGGGTGCTGGCTCTGCTTTTGTCACAAATTGTGTTAATAAATTTGAGACTTCAATGAACCATCCTCATCAAGTAGATGATACCAATGCCCATCCATGCTTCTGCCTGGGACCATCAGGTGTTTGCAAGAAAAACAGATCTGAGAAATAGCTCAGATTTCTAGCTCTGAGTTTGGCTTTTATCTAAATATTTTCTTACCCTCATTAGAATGTATGTGCTTCCTTGTTTAAGCCTCTTGTTCGAGGACTTTCTTAGCTGAACAATATCTGGGATACGTGGCAGGATCACACTACCCACCAAATAATAGGGAGGATGGGTTTCACTTTTTGTAAAGGCCATGCCAAGGGGAACCCAGCAGGCAGCCCTAGGCGGGTTCACAGACTGATACAGCAGTAGTACTGAGGGGTATGGCCATGGCAACTTCCTGACTGCCCCCAGACATGCAGTGTCATCTCCTGAGCAACCCAGGCAAAGTCAGAGCAGGATACAGACTTAGAGCTAAGACCTAAATGATGCTCCTTGTCCAGGCTGTGTGCAGCAACCCGGAGTGTCCAAAGAGCCAGGAAAAAGTGTTGGGGACCAACCAAGTAGACCGCAAGGAGGGTGCTCTGCAACTGAGGCAGGCAGCTGGTTTTCAGGGAGTTGGCCGCGTCGTCGGCACAAAAGATGCTTTTGAAGATACGAAGCATCATGACCACCTGCAAATGCCAACTCTGTGCTCAGTCCTTCCACAACACCAGTGCGTTCCTCTCTTAATGCTGGTCTCCCTTCTTAAAGACTGGTTTCTAGTGAAAGGTTCGCTTTCCGGATACTCCACTTTGTGGCAGCCCACAAGTCATTGCCCTAGTTAGAAGAAAGCCTTTCTCAAAGTATCTTGTCATCAGAAAATAGGTTGTGTATTGCAGAAGTTCTCAACCTGTGAGTCATGACCTCCACAGGGGTCACCTATCACATATTCACACTCTGGTTCATAATAGTAGCAAAAATGGCAGTTTTGAAGTAGCAACAAAATAGTTTTATGGTTGGGAATCACCACAACATGAGGAACCATGCTAAAAGTTCACAGCATTAGGAAGGTTGAGAACCACTGGTGTTGTGGAGCGCACACGGAGACTGTTGTAGATCTGCTCTGTTGATAGAGTATGGGTGTGTGCCTAGACACTTCTCCATCCCTGTAGAGTTAGCATCTACATCAGGGGAAGCAATATCCCTTTACAATTAATAAAATATCGTTTAACCTGGTCTCACTGAGTATTATGTTAAACCTCTCTTGCTCCCAGAAACATGGAATAATCCTAAATTCAGAAATAGCCACCAACGGAGAGACTTCAGACACATTAAACGGCGTTGGATATCAAGGCCCTACGAAGATGACAAAAGAAGAGCTGAATGCCCTCAAGTCAGCCGGGGAGGGGACACTAGGTAAGAGCTTCTCTTTGACCCCTTCCACTGTTTGACCAGCCTTGGTTCACCTTTGTGCACTGTGATTGCCACTGAGAGTAACAGTCACGCGGCATGCCATCTCTTCTGTCACTTCATGGTGGTGTCCCGAACAAACCATGCGGTCACCCACAGTGCTGTGTAGCATGCATTTTTGTCTAGTGCTTTCCACCAACGGCTCAAGGACACATTTCTTCTTCGCTTTTCGAGGCTGAGTAGAAAGAGATAGGGCTGAAAGTCAAGTGGTAACGGTGAGGGTTTGATTTGCCTTTTCTCTGAATGTGTTCTAATTATGGCCGTCAGCTTTCCTGTGATGGAGTTGTCCACAGGTGGGAACAGTGGAGGCTTTGCTGGCGTGTTTTCCTGCCAGCCTGGCACACTTGAGCACTCACCACATAAACATTTGGAGAGGGCATAAGCTGCCTGAGTGGGACAGGTGACACCTGGGGATGGCAGCCCTGAAGCTGCTGTCCCCACCCCAAGAATGGAAGGCAGTCTTGGTCCTGAGAGTGGTCCTTGCTGTGAGTGTGATGTGCTCACAAGAGTTGGAATCCCCCACTTTACTCTGTACGCCACACTGTTAGCTTCTGTAAGAATACACAGTTGGGAAATCTAATAGATAGAGGAATGTTTCCTATAATTTTCAGAGACAAAGATTCACAAGTTAATGAGTCTTAAATCCTGCCTTTAGAATAAATCCAGTTGCTAGTTTATTACAAGGCAGGACTGTGACTGTATACATTTATGCCCATGTAGAAGCCTGTAGGCCCCGACTTCTCCGAACTGTTTCCCAGCAGCTGCCCCATCCCCATGTGATTGTCAAAGCAATGTCCTCTCATCAATATGCAAGTCACCAAAACAGAAAGATTCCATAGTTTCCACCATGCCTCCAGGACAGCCCCACCGGGGACTGGTCCTGCTGTTCTTGTCTCCATGCGCAGTTGACATATCCCTGGTAATCATGTGACATGGCTACAAGAAGAAGAAAGGCCACTTTTGTAAGTGGCCTCAAAGGGTTTTGGATGTGGTATCTATCTAATCAGTGGAATGCTATGGGAACTCCCGGTTTAAATTTGCCCATGTCTGATGTTTCCTTAACATACACCACTAAACATAGACAATAGTAGAAAATCTTTAAGGGCGAAGTTAAGTTGCTTCTGAATAAAGGACGTCTCACCATTTTCCTGGGATCAGAGCTTAATTATAGAGGCTACAAAGTTCTTAGATTGACAGGCTTTTACTTCCAATAAGATAATATCCAATAGGCTGGGGATTTATTGACTAATTGATAGGGCTTTTGACGGATGGGTTACGTGTTCACCTTGATCTTCAGCTTTCCTTTTGTTGGGTTTTTACCACTCCCCTGGGGTGAAAGGACTGATGTGTTCTTGAGGAGAGCATTTTCCAAAGGAGACAGTGCAGGTAGTGGAACGTAGATTGCTTTCTTTCTGCCTTGTAGGGCTTACTCCTCAAGCGTCTTCCTGAGACTGGCTTTCCAGTCAGTTTCTGAAAGTGAATGTTATTTTAGGGAAGCATGAAGGCTGTGAGATTCATAAGACTCAAGTGGCTGAGAGTGTGAGTGTTTAGAGTTAGGGGTGCGGAAGGAGGAACTAGAATCCACTCTGAAAACCTTCCTGTGGCTGCCTGCCTGCCCCACAGCTCTCTCACCGATGGCAGTAGCCACTCTAGCCTTGGAGGTGATGGCAGCGGCCCTTTGCTTATCAAAGACAAGCTAATGCAGTTGCTGCTTTGCCGCATAGGCCTGACGAAGGCTTGTTTCCAGTGACTGACTCTCTCTCTCTCTCTCTCTCTCTCTCTCTCTCTCTCTCTCTCTCTCTCTCTACTCTCTCTCCCTCTCCCTCTCCCTCTCCCTCTCTACTCTCTCTCCGTCACTCTCTCTCTCTCCCCCTCTCTCCCTCTCCCTGTCTCCTCTCTCCTCTCTCTCCATCACTCTCTCTCCCTCTCTCTCTCTCCCTCTCTCCCTCTCTCTCCTCTCTCTCTCCCTCTCTCTCTCTCCCTCTCTCCCTCTCTCTCCTCTCTCTCTCTCTCTCTCTCCCTCTCCTTCTCCCTCTCCCTCTCTCCTCTCTCTCTCCTCTCTCTCTGTCTCTCTTTCAGAGAAAACTGAGTGGTAATTAAAACATGTGTTTTTGCATTTTAATATCTATTAAGTGCCCACCACATCACGGGGTCCCTTCAATTCTCTCAATGGTCTTTTAGGAAAAGCCAAAGAAGTGGAGTTGAAAAAGGAAATTGTGGAGAATATGGGGAAAGGAGGAGGAACCTTACAGAACACTGAGCAAGAACAGCCCAGACCCAACCCAGTAAAAGATTGTGTGGACAAAGGGATGTCACATCCCGGTGATAATGCTGAGGACCAGAAACCCGCTGAAGACAGTGCCCTGTCCCCAGGACCACTAGCGGGGGCCAAATGTGAGCAACAGGTTCAGAGCCAAGCTCAAGAGAACAGTTTTCTCAAAGACCCAGAGCAGATTGAGTCATGTGAGGTCACAGACCAGCCAGATGGTAGGACCAGAAACTCGTTGGAACAGTCCAACTGCCTGCAAGGTCTAGACAGTGAAGAGTCAGAACCCAAAAATCCAAGTGAAAACTCTGTAGGTTTGGGGCAAACATCTGAAGTTGACAAGATGAGCTTTACAGACTCAAGGGGCGCAGGTGGCAACCACACAGAGAATGCAGGACAGGTGGAAGGAGCTGCCGTTGGGGAAGAGGTGGGTACAGTCGCCTCCAGTCCTTCGGAACACCACGAAGACACACTGAGTCATGAGAGAAGTGTGGATGATGGGGAAGAACAGAGCTTGGAAAGAGAACTCACCCAAGAAGTAGCTGAGCCCGAGGAAGTCCTCGTCCCGAGCCCACCGGTAACTGGGGAAAACACTGTTGGAAAGACCAGGGACAAGAAGTCCATCCTGGCAGAAGTCCATGCCACACATGCACCACTTGATGAGAAAGAACCCGACAAAGAAAAGAGCGAGCAGCAGGCAGAGGCCTTGGATTCACCACAGAAGAAGTCTAAGAACAGGAAGAAGAAGAACAAGAAGAAGAAATCTCCAGCCTCAGCGGAGACCTGCCAAGACGCCAGCAAAGAGGTAGACCGCCAGAGCGTAGAAGAAGAGCCGGCCCAGTTCCCTGACAAAAAGCAGGCAGCAGAGACCCAGAGTGAAGACACAGAAAACTCAGAACAAAAAATCACAGCAGGAAGCAGTGAACATGCCGAGTGCCTACAAGATCCTGAAAATGAGCTTAACGGAAAACAGAAGCAAGGGGAGGAAGATGGTGTAAAAACCCAGGCAGGGAAAGTAACGGCAAAGGGAGACGTGCTAATGCATGAGGCGGAGGCGGCACAGTCGGTCGGCACCAGTGCTGGGGGTGAGGAAGTTGAAGACCATGATGCTGATGGTCCCACAGATGTCTCGGATCAGAACAAAGAAGGGGAAATCTCCCCGGTGAAAAAGAAAGGTCCCCCAAAGGATGCTAACCATGCTTCTCAGAGAGGAAGTGAGGAGGAGCATGTGCTGTCCCACCATCCAGGCCAGACGGTCAAGAAGGCTGTAGATGGCTGCAGCGTAGACAACAGTGACCTGTCAGGGCAGCTGGAGGGCTTCAGCTCAGAAAGTGGAGTGCAGGCAAGAGGGGAGGTTGAGAATAGCAAGAGTAAGGAGGATTGCACCATGTCATGAGGAGGCAGGAGGCAGACGGGGGAGGCCGAGTTTCAGAGAAGGCCAAGGACTCAACACACTAAGCCCAACCTCAAGAGTTCCATCCTTCAACCCCACTGTTCCAGTTTCTGTGGATGTGCCACGTGTCAGTCAAGTCTCAACTACTTTAAGTTATAGACTGTTACCTGTAGATTTGTATTCAGCCATTGATCATCTAGACACCATTGTTTTCAGTTTCAGTTCTAGCTGAGAACATTCCATTGGTGACACCATGTCCCTGTCATGTCTGCATTCCAGTCTTAAGGCCAAAACGTAACCATTTGCTTTAGGCCGAGATGAATGTGGCTGTGCTTGTCACATGTGTCAGCATCTAGTTGAAGTGACCAAACAGCATGCTTAGGTTTCTGTGTCGTGAGCAGTGGATAGTCAAACTAATGTGTCTCATTAAAATAGATGCAGCTTCATGTTTGATCTTAACATGTACATCATAACCTATGGGGTATTATATTTTAAGGAGCTAGATGGATAAGTAGCATATAGTCGCTGGGTGAGAGGAGCTGCACCTCAGGGTAGAGGTTAATTACTGTAGGGATTCAAACAGTTATCAAAAACGCAGGGAGACCATATGCCTTTACCTCACCTAAGTGCTGTATTTTGCACCAATGCTCTTGGATCTTATTGCCAATGGTACCCAAATCAATTTTGTCAAAGATCTTTATTTCACTTCACATGAGTGATATGCTAAATTCATTTCATATAAATATTTTATTTTTATTCTTTTCTGTTAATGACAAGTTGAAATTATATTTCCTACTTTAGTGTTTAGGAGAAAGTCGTTAATTTTTTTAATTTTAAAGTAATCTTCCTGTCTGAATATCTACTTATTAAAAAAACAATACAAGACATTGTTTGTTCTTATGCAAAGGACTCATTAGATTTTAATCCAACATTTTGTGTTTGGTATAAATATTTTTATTTGTTGTTTCTCAATATTTTCTTATTGGAAAGTTATTATTTTACCTGCCTGAAGGAAATAATGTATTTTCTATATAAAGAAGCATTTAGAAAAAATTATTATAAAGCTGCATTTAAAAGTACTGGTAAATATAAAATTGCAAGGCCATGTACTGTATGACTACTGTTGTCATGTTATGGGATCATGTGAACTCATACTACTGTTACAAGGTAGAGTGGAACGCAAAAAGACCAAACCCTCAGTAAAATCTGAGGCAAACTGAAGTGTCATATAATTGAAATAAAAAACATTTTATAATTTTACAAGCCTGTGGTTCTGGTCTTTGAGACCCTTGACCTCTGACCCTGGTAGCTATTTGCCCACATGAAGTCATTCTGGCTTTGAGCTCCCTGGGGCGGGGGGTTCCAGAAAAACCAGTTCTCAGTGCCTTCAGCATTGACAAGTGAACGCCGTGTTGAAGCTGCCCTTGCCCTGAGAAGCCGAGAGAGCAGTCCCCGGCCCATCTGGTGTACTCTGTGGACACATCCTTGTGTTCCCCCATTGGTGAAAGCCTCCATGTGCTCTGCTAAATTGTGCCAGTGCATAGGGCTGTTTGTGGAAGCGGATAGAAGCGGTGAGGAAACTGACTGTGTGTGCACGTGTGTCCTGAGAAACTGAACAGATGAGCTGTTGCATGCTCCCCTCCTGTGCCATGAAAGTAAGACAGGAATCTGGCTGCAGGCGCTACCCCAGGGTTCCGAAGGCTGCAATGACCCCAGCCAGCTTCGGTCAAGCTCCCATTCAAATGTCTCCCCCCACTCAGACCCCGGAAGACCACCTCTAGGAGCTTAAAAGGCTTAAGATTCTTGTTTTCTACTAGCTGCTCCCTTCCTGAGAGGCCACACTGTGCAGCGTCTCACGTGGTCTCTATGCCAAGGGGCACATGGTGAAAAGTATTCCCGGTGGCTTGCCTCTAAAGGACAGGAGGGGTGTTTCCTGTACTGGGGCAGTGTGGCGGTCATACTGAGAACACCTTTCCAGGGAAAAGAGGCATTTACCTCACCCCTTCACCACCTGCACTGCCCACCCACCCACTTCTTACCCCTTTACACATTTCTTGGCTGTAATGGCCGGATCATCCCCTGCCCATGCAGACCCCTTGGATGCTAGAAGAGAGACGCAGTTGAACAGCCATCTCTTAGCCTCAGAAAAGGTAGAAGCTAACATGGTTAGGTTCAGTCAGAGTTGGATCAGGAGGGGGCTCAGGGGAAGAGGCAACTCTCATTTCCTGCTCCCCCCCATCATCATTTGAGCATAGGGAAAGGGGAAAACTCTCTTGGGCAATGGGCAGGGGGGGTTAATAGTTGAAATTACCCACACAGTGTGAAGTACAGGTTGCTGGCATTTATCATGAACAAACCACCAGACCTGGGAAAGCTCCCTTTTGCCTACGAAGATGTGAGTCGCACCTTTTGGAGTTATGGGGTTGGGTTGACTGGCCTTGAGTAACTCTAGGGTGGAGTTGCTAAGGTACCCAGACCTCAAGATGACAAAGAAACCAGGAGCTTGGAGAATCCCAGCACTTTTTTGGCTCCCTCTGGAATTTTCTAGAAGTCTCTAACTCTTTCCCATTTTCTGGGTGTCAAAACTGTATAACATAAAATTTCCTAAAATTTTAATTTTGTTTTGTTTTGTTTTTTGAGATAATAGGATTTCTCTGTGTAACAGTCCTGGCTGACCTGAAACTCGATTTGTAGACTAGGCTGGCCTGGAACTCAGAGAGATCCTCCTGCCTCTGCCTCCTGAGTGCTAGGATTAAAGGTGTATGCAATTACCACAAAAAGAAAACAAAAAAACCTATATTTTAAAAAACCCTTTAGTGATATAAAGATAACTTTAATAGCCCGACAACTGATTTTAACATGAGTACAAAAGAAGCCCCAAGTTCAGGATAATGTGAGCTCTTTTGTTTTGGTGCCTCGTTTCTGAAAATTACAATCGCTATACTTAGTGAGTAGTTTGTGCTGTTTCGCCATCAAGTGTTGCAGATCAGTGAACCTGCTGTTTGCCAAGTCAAGGTAGGGGAATTCGACACAGAGCGTACCAGTGCATCCTGCTCTCCACAGCAAGCTAGATAGGTTCATTCTGCTCTGTCTACATCAAATACTTTCACTTTTCCTCTTTATCTTTTTTTAAGGGTCTCATATACTCGAGGCTGACCTTGAACTCACTGTGTAGCTCAGGCTGGCCTCAAACTCAGCAACCCTCCTGCCTTAGCTCCCTAGAGCTGGTATTTTAAGGCGTGTACTTCCACAACTGACTCCTATTTTTCTATCTTCTTGATGCTTGCCTCTCCAATTCCTCTTTCCAGCCTCTGAGTATCTCTTTTTCACATTCTCTTCCATAAAACTGAAGTTCAGACAGCCTGCAGTGTTTCTCACTGCCAGTGTCATTACATTCTGCCTTTTTTTTTTTTTTTTGCTGCTTTTCTAGGTTATTTGAAGTCAAGAGGAAAAACAATAACATTGTGTATTGATGGAGCTTTAAGATTGTTTTATGATACAGTCCATGCTCATTGCAACGATAGTTTTTATTTGTTTTTGTTTGTTTGTTTGTTTCTTGGTTTTATATGAGGTTAAAATACATAAGGGAAGATTGCTTCACATTTGGGTAGATTTTGAAAAATAAAAAATAAAATAACCTCACAGAAGCCACTGGGGCTGTAAGTTAAAGTTGAATACCAAAGGGTCAGAAAACTGTATTAATTCTTGACATTTTGGTTGTAAGCGTAGCCTTTAACAGCTGAGCTATCTCTCCATCTCAGAAAATTATATTATTGTTGTTGTTGTTGCTGTTGTTGAGATTTTCTGTTGGCTTTTACTTTGCCATGTTGTGCCTTTCCGGGTAACAGCTCAGAGTTTTTTGAAAGATGGTTGGCAAATGCCAGTAACTTGGATTGGGGTGTGCCTGGATGATATTAAATGAATACAAAGATGAGTTTTATGTGCATGGGTTTGCACACATGGCTCATCAAAGTTAATTATTTACTCTCTGGAGAATTCTGAAGGAGGCAGTATGAGAACATGATCATGTTAGGAATGGGAGGCATTAGGAGTCACATTGGGCCTCCCTGCTTCTGAAAGAAGGAAAAAAACAAGATGGCTGCCCATGGGGACCCTGGGCTCTGTTGGATCAGCACCTGCAAGTGGCAGCAGTGTCCCCGTGGGAATCCGGAATCCTGATTTTTGCCTTTAAATGTGAAAATCCTCACTCCACCTCAGTTCTCCCTGTAGACCTGAGAGTATTTAGTATTCTCTTAGAGAGATTTGGGGAACAGACTGACTGTCAGACAGACAGACAGACAGACAGACAGACAGACACACACACACACACACACACACACACACAATCCTTCCATGTCTGGGGTGGGAAGGATTACAGGAACCAAAGCCAGTACTGTGCTGCTTTTCTTAAAAAAAAAAAAAAAAAAGTAACAGCATACTGTATGTACCTAGCTTAGTGTACATGTTGTCATTCGGCTTGTGGTTTGTAAACAGAGTTAAAACTGTGATATCAGTGAGTCTGTTCGAGAAATGAGAAACGTAACTAGATGTGGAGTGTGAACTTGGAAAGAGCCCTCCTTGAAACTTTGGTGCTCGTGAACGGCAACATTGCACAATTGCTAAACCATGAAGCCTGTGAGATCTTGTGTTGCAGCAGCGTGTCTCCCTAGCGTTCTTGCATGCTAGCCTAAGTAGAAGATTAGCCTGTTTGCATGAGCCGGAGGCTGTCCTGATGAGAAGCATGTCGGGAGGCTGGCACCACCCCTTGGCTGAGCTCCCCATCCTGTCTGTGGCCTCATTCATCGTGGTACGTGTTTAACTCCCTCCATCACTCATCCCACTAACCGGCCTATGTTACTCTGTTAGTGAGGTGCTGAAACTGGGCGGGATGCAGATTCATCCATGTCTTTCTGATCTCTTCAGATGTCAGGTTGAAAAAGCTCATCGATGAACGGGAGTGCTTGTTGGAGCAGGTAACCACCTTTCTGTTACTCTGCCGCATTTTGAGTAGGGTGCCCAAAACCACGCACCTCTTCCCAGCCTTCCTTCTTGCTCACTCTGGAAACCCCTAAATGTCTATCTGAGAACAATGCTGGCTTGATGATTTGACCCAAATAGAATGAGAACTCAAAGCCAAGGGGCAGCGTTTGGTACATTCAACATGAGTTGTTGCTTTGGCAGTGGAGGGTGGAGATCTGCCATGGGGAGACAGGAAGTAAGTGACCGTGCATTTCCCCTTGTCCCTGAACACGGGTTTTGTGCACTCAGAATCGGATGTCCTTTCCAGCCGACATTTCTTTTGATTTTATTTATAATTTTTCTTTATTCTTGAGAGTTTCATACATGTGTGCAAGGAAATAGGATCATATCTACCTCCAATTTCCATCCTTCAGCTCCACCCATGTCCCCCCAACATGTCCCCTCTGAACTTCATGTTCTCCCCACCCCTCAACAATGCACTAAAGCCAATTAGTGCTGCCTTTGTGTACATGGATGTGGGACCACCCATTGGAGCACAGGCAGTCTCGCTGTGGGAGCAGGCTAAAGAAGAATGATTCTCCCCCATAGCGCTTCGTTAAGGCGTGGGGCCTAGAGAGCACATGCCAGTCTGTGCTGGAATTTTGACTCACTGTGTAACCCAGCAGAGGGGACAGGGCGTGCAGAAGAGCCTGTGGTCTGGCTCCCCTTCTGACCCTGTCTGTTTCTCTCTGAGAGCAGACTCTTTCTTGTAAGGCCCCCTTCATAAAGGCTGGCCAGTGCCCCCAGGCCAACGTGCAGCTTGACCAGGTTCTATGCAGAAGCATACAGTTTTATAGGAGACCCCACATTCCTGCACCAGGGCCCTTAAGAGGCCTCATATCTTTGTGACTAAGCAAAGATTGGCACCAAGAATTGCTCAACATATCAAGTGTTTTTTGTGCAATCTATTCCCGAGTCCCAGAAGAATTTCAGCCTGAGAAATTACTGTTCACAGAAGCTGGGGAGATAGCTCCATCAATAAAGTGCTGGCAGAACAAGCAGGAGGACCTGAGTTCAAATCCCCAGCACCCACGTAAAAGCTGGACGTGGTGGTGACATGCACCTGTAATCCCAGTGCTGGGGATTTGGAGATGTGTGGATCCCTGGAGCTGATTGACTAGCCAGCCTCCCTGAGTGCATAAGCTAGGTTTAGTGAGAGACCCTATCTCAAAAAAGGAAAATAAATAAATAAATATGGTGGAGCGTAATGGAGGAAAATAACCAGTGTTAACCTCTGGCCT